TTCAGACATACTATGTTTGACTTGCATGTTAAAGGTATGTTGTTTGTATGACATTTTTGAGTTTGTAGCCTGTGTCTGGCTGACATTTTTGAAGTATGCTGTATGTTTCTGGCTAAATTTTTTGAAGTATGCTGTATGTTTCTGGAAAAATTTTTTGAAGTATGTTGTCTGTGTCTGACCGACATTTTTGAAGTATGCTGTATGTGTCTGGCTGACATTTTTGAAGTATGTTGTCTGTGTCTGGCTGACATTTTTGAAGTATGTTGTCTGTGTCTGGCTGACATTTTTGAAGTATGTTGTCTGTGTCTGACCGACATTTTTGAAGTATGTTGTCTGTGTCTGGCTGACATTTTTGAAGTATGCTGTCTGTGTCTGACTGAAATTTGATAGTTATGTTGTCTGTGTCTGACTGAAATTTGATAGTTATGTTGTCAGTGTCTGACTGAAATTTGATAGTTATGTTGTCAGTGTCTGACTGAAATTTGATAGTTATGTTGTCAATGTCTGACTGAAATTTGATAGTTATGTTGTCAGTGTCTGACTGAAATTTGATAGTTATGTTGTCTGAGTCTGACTGAAATTTGATAGTTACGTTGTCTGTGTCTGACTGAAATTTGATAGTTATGTTGTCAGTGTCTGACTGAAATTTGATAGTTATGTTGTCAGTGTCTGACTGAAATTTGATAGTTATGTTGTCTGAGTCTGACTGAAATTTGATAGTTATGTTGTCTGTGTCTGACTGAAATTTGATAGTTATGTTGTCAGTGTCCGACTGAAATTGCTGAAGTATGTTTTCTGTGTGTGACTAAAATTTTAGAGAGATGCTTTCTCTACCAAACGTAATTCCGCCAGCGATGGACCCAAATTGATTTTTACTTTTCACCCTAACAATGTGGTTGCTTTCAAAGAATTCTTTTGTCATTTGGACATCCTCCCCTCTGACCCGGACATCAAGATTATCTTTAATGAGAAGTCAAGATTAGTTTATAGACCACACTGCAACCTTAAAGACATAATTGTCAGAAGTTGACTCCCACAGATCTGTACAGAACTTCCTTTTGGGACTACTGAATGCTCCCCCAGCAAGTGCAAGACAAGTCCTTTTACTGTCCAGACTTCTTCAGTCAGTTTCCCTAATGGTTCTTTCCAAATTAGGGAACTTTTTACTTGTGACTCCCGTAACATAATTTATGCAAACGATGCAGCAAGGCATACACTGGGAAAATTGGCAGGAAGCTAGCTGATCGTTTGCGGGAACACCTTTCTGATATTGACAAGAAGACACTTAAACCAATCCCTCTCGATTTTAACAACTCTGATCACAGAGGTAAAGATGATATATCTGTCACAGCATTAAAATCTTGCTCTGGCAATCATCCCACGCGCCTCGCTTTGGAAAATCGCCCCATCCACAGCCTAGGCGTTCTTAGTCCAGGTGGTATCAATATCCAACATACCTTCATCTAAACAGATTTAATCTTATCACATTTTAAATTTTAATTATGTTCCTTTTTTTATTTTATATTTTTACTTTATTATATCTATTATCAGTGTCATTTATGTGTCATTAACATTTCTTTCTTTTATTCCCACTATTAACAATATTACTTTTTATTTTTTGCGCCTATTTTTTTTGGCCATCATTTATTTTATTTTATTTCATTCATTCCACATCATATTTTTTAAAACAATGGTCACGTCACCCATTAGAGATCTGAATACTCTCCTTTCCTCATCGTTACCTTTGTGTAGTTCACTTCATGTATGACAAAGACTGCATGGTGAAATGTTATTTGTGCTGTTTTGTGCACGTTTTTCCTCTTCCCCATTTGGTTAAGTTTTTTAGTCAAATTTCACTGGAATTCCTACAATTTTAGAGGTATGATATTTGTTTCAAACTGAAATTGTTGAAGTATGTTGTCTGTGTCTGACTAAAATTTGTGAAGTACAAGGTCCGACAATTAAGTAATAAGACTGATTTTACTATGGCCAAGATAAAAAATGCCATCTATGAAACAAAGCGTGGAATCTAAAGAGGCAACATTCATCTATGATCTGGCAGCTTCTCATCGCCGCTTGATAAGCTGTACTTGAAAGGGATCAAGAGAGCAATGACCACTACTGCCACCAGGACCACTCATAACCCAGAGCCAAAACGAAGATTCGAGGCGCCCAGTTCGACTGCTGCACCACCCATGATTAGCAATGAAATTACGCTTCTGAGGAACGAAATCAAGACCCTACATGAAGAAAATGCAAAAATGAAGGCACAAAGGAATCAAGAAAGAGATGAGATGACCGAACTGAGAAGTATACTGCAAACATCCCTTGAAACCCAGAGGAGACTGGAAAAAGACAGTGTTGATATAGGTATATTCAAAACCGATTTGATGGGACTGCTAACCGACCTAAAAAAGATGAAAGAAGCAAACGTCGAAACCACTAAAGAACTACTAGAAAACCAGATACGCCTACTGTCCAATGTCACCACTATCAAGAAAGAATTGATAGAAACCAAAGGAAAGCTATCCAAGTCAAATGAAGAATGTGCCAAACTGAGCTCTGCACTTCAAGCCAAAAACAAAGTGATAGACGCAAGAGAAAAGGCAAAGAAAGAAAAAGAAGGAAAAAAGCAGATCCACGACAATACTCAAAAGCCGTCAACCTCGACGATGAAGAGAAGAAATGCATTCAGGACATGAAAAATCTCAAGGAATGCTTAAAAGATGACTTCGCAATAGTGCACACAGGGAGGTTAAGCATCTCAAGGGAGCCACCCGACAACTTCAACTTGAAAGCATAAGGAACAGCAAAACGAAAATAGCAGCCCACTCAAAAGAAGACGAACCCCACGTGGCACAGTAAATACGATAACCCACAAACAGCAACCAATGGAAACCATGTAAGCGCCATGACAGCTCACCAAATCAGCTCACTAGCCAGAGGAAACCCCTCAGAGACCAGTCAGGCATGATGATCTACATCCGGCTCACTCCCACCCTACCCGATTCCAGTGCCGCCCCAGGCAAATGGTCTGTCCTTTTCAGGGCAGACCGAGACCCCCTCCCTGCATGTAGAAATCGGAAAAATTGATGAAAAACTCAGGCGTATTGATACGGCACGTTTGGTAAAAAAAAACAAATTTAAAAATCCAAGCATAGAAACACAGTCCCAACATAATCGCCGCTCATGTTAGGAGCTGGTTAGGAAGACTAGAACTTTTTTGTTTTTTTAAGAATGAACTCGGAACTTGGACTTAAATTTTTGAAGTATATTTTCTGTGTCTAACTGAAATTGTTAAAGTATGTTGTCTGTGTCTGACTAAAATTGTAGAGGTATGATATTTGTTTCCAACTGAAATTTGAGAGCTATTTTGTCTGTGTCTGACAGAACATTTTGAATTAAATTGTCTGTTTCCAACCTACATTTTAGAAACTTGCACTGCCTCTGACTAGCAATATATCAGATTTATAACCTTTTTCATCCACCCTCTATCGTCCAATGGAGAACAGCCTCTAAACCACCTTGTGCCAAGCTACCATATTCTTTGGCCTCTCATGAAGATCACCCCATGTCCTTTTCATATCAGCCACTTTTACCTCTTTTTCTCTTTGTGTGCTTCTTCTTTCCCTTTGTTCTTTTAACCCTGTGGATTCCATTGCAAGGACATTCTAGCTAAACTATTATCAAGTTCTCTTAGTGTGTATTCTGTCAAATGCCAGCATCTGTTTCTCTCCTCTTGACTGTTAAGGTGTTTTCCTCAAAGCTTCTATATTAGTGATTCTGACACATCAATAATTTCCTTCCTTCCTGCACAGGCACCACCAGATAATGAATGTTTTTCAACACTGTGGGCAAACACAGAAACAAATGAGGCAGTTCAAACAAAACATTAGATAAATCACACAAGAATAGTCAAGGCTTCTTAAGGATGTTATATAAGAGAAACAGTTCATTTTTATGCCAGCTGCACACCAAGCAAGTCTCATATTTGTTTAGACCAACAAGCCCTCTGTGGGTGGTGTGGTCAACATAAGGCAGCTGCCTTCCCTTCTAAGGACCTTACCTGGTACCCATCTTAAGCTGGGTCGACCTGGCAGGCAGGCTTTAAAAAAAAGTAAAGGTCCCTTTTCCATGCCTTTAGGCGTATAGGGCATATAGGGCTAGACCTATATTTTTAGAGACCACTTTGCATAAGATGGGTGATGTAGTCATCATAATGCTGGCCACCTTTACTTCTCGGGACTGTACCCAGTACCACGGCTGAGTCGACCTGGGAGTCAAGGTCATTTTTTTTAAAAGTCTGGCTCCACCAGGGAGCAAATACACAACCTTTCGATCCGCATGCGAGCATCTAGCCGCTACGCCACGGCAATTCCAAGCCATGCTTAACTTTGAACAAATCTGCCACAGCGCAGGTTTGAACTCAAATTCTTTGGGCTGACAGATAAGCATTTAACTTCTGCAGTATCACAGCTCTTGAGCATGTCTTGAGGAATAAATTTAGAAATGTAGTATTTCTTTGTGTGTGGTCAGTATTTATTTTGTACCACTGGGCACCACATTTAGCTGATGACAGGTAGCCCAGCCAGGTCATGCTCGGTTATTTGGTATTGCTGTGGTGACGTGAAGCCTTAGCTATTAATGACTCCTTCAATCCATGTTTTTCTATGTCTCCCTCTGCCTCTTGATGTTTCTATTTTGTTGTTGTAGGCTCTCACTGCCAGCATCATCGGATTCATTCTCACTATGTGGTTAACTATTCCGTCTTTGTTTTCAATTAATTTAACAAAGGGCACTGTTGCGATAGTTATTCTAGTCTCTTCACCACTCATACGATCTCTTCTGGTTTTGTTTGCAGCCTTTCTCAAACATCAAATTCCACAAGAGTGTTCCTTGGATAATATCCAATGAAGCAGCAACTGCAAAACTTAATGAGGAAAAAGTAAAGGCAACAGAGATAAAAACTTGAATGGTTTGATAACACTTTAATCTCTTACCTTCCAGCTCCTTATCCTTCTCTGGCTTCTTGTGATGGTGGTGGTGATGATGGTGGTGGTGGTGGTGATGATGTTCTTTGTGATGATGATGGCGGTGGTGGTCCTTGTGATGGTGGCTCTCCTTCTCATCCTGAAGGTCACTGTCTAAGGACTCATCGGCAAGCGGTGTCACCACCTTGTCATCAGACCTGCCATCTTCTGCATCCCTGCTCGTGAGTGTGGATGTCGGCACAAAGTCTGCTTTTACCTTGGCTGAAACAGACATACAAAGAAGCAATGAAGTGCTGTGTTGAAAACATTTTACCATGGTTGGAACTGAAAGAAATAGATATACACAGAGACAATGAAGTGCTCTCTTCTATACATTTTACTTTGGTTGGGACTGAAATAGACATAAAAAGAGGCAATGAAGCACTCTCTTGAAAACATTTACTTTGGTTGGGACTGAAAGAAACAGACATACATAGAGGCAATGAAGTGTTGATTTGAAAACATTTACCTTGGTTGGAACTGAAAGAAACAGATATACACAGAGGCAATGAAGTATTGTTTTAAAAACATTTACCTTGGTTGGGACTGAAACAGACATACACAGACGCAATGAAGTGCTCTCTTGAATACATGTTACTTTGGTTGGGACTGAAAGAGACAAGACATACCACAGAGGCAATGAAGTGCTCTCTTGATTACATGTTACTTTGGTTAGGATTGAAAGAAACAGACATAGACAGAGGCGATGAAGTGCTGTCTTGAAAACACTTGCCTTGGTTGGGACTGAAAGAAACAGACATACACAAAGGCAATGAAGTGCTATCTTGAAAACAGAGTTAATTTAACCACTGCAGATATAAGATTAGAAAAATATCCTTGTAAGGAGGAATAATGAATAAATGCAGGGTGAGTTCCTTGGCAGTGAATGAATGAAGATGGATCAGATCATCTCCATAATTAAGGCTGCTTACAGCAGATCTAGACACTTCCTTTTTTTTTTCTTCCAACAAAATCTAGATGGAACCACAAAATCTGATGTAGATGTGAGCCCAAAAAAATCTGATGTGGCGGTTAGCTCACTGTAAACTGATAATGAACCGAGTAAAAGTCACATGACAGATGGCGCACACAAGTAATCTATGGTGGCCGAAACTTACTCTGGGATATGATTGGTGATGGGAAGTATTCAGGCTCGTTGCTCTCAAAAGACCTTGGTCTGGCTTCTCCAGCACTTGATCCACTGCTGCTCGGACTTTCCACAGGGCTGACCTTTGGCTGGGCAACAAAATAAACACGAAGACTGATAAAATATTCAAGAAGCAACTATTATTATTTTTAACACAATTATTATTTCCTTTCTGCTACCCAACATTCTCCTAGAATAAGACCAGCAATATGAACTTCTGCCTCTGTGTCCCTCCACATGCTCCTAGAATGAGGCAGACAATATGACCTTCCAGTGTTTGTGTCTCACCACTTTTTCCTAGGATAAGGTAGATAATATGAATGTCCAGTCTCTATGTCCCTCCACTTTCTCCTAATATAAGGCTAGCCAATTAGAACTTCCAGTGTTTATGTCCCTCAATTATCTCTATAAAGATAAGGTAGACAATATAAACGTCCAGTCTTTATGTACCTCTAATTTCTCATAAGAGAAGGTTAGCCAATATGACCTTCCAGTATTTAGGTCCCTTAACTATCTCCTAGGATAATGTAGACAATATGAACATCCAGTCTTTATGTCCTTCCACTTTCACCTAGGATAATGCAGATAATATGAACGCCCAGTGTGTGTGTACCCCCACTACCTCCTACGATAATGCAGACAATATGAACATCCAGTCTTCATGTCCTCCCACTTTCTCCTAGGATAATGCAGACAATATGAATTTCTAGTGTTTGTGTACCTCCACTTTCTCCTAGGATAATATGTATAATATAATATGAACTTCCACAGTTTTTGTCTCTCCAATTTCTCATAGGATAAGACAGACAATATAAACTTCCAGTGTTTGTGTACCTCTTGTTTTTCTTAGGATAAGACAGACAATATGAACATCCAGTGTTTATGTACCTCCTCTCTCTCTTGGAGATTGCAGGTTAGGGAGAGGTATGATTGCCCATGCCACTCAGCAAGGCACCTGATGATTATGAATCTTCTTCCTGTGCTCAAGGATTCTGATGCCTTCTGGGCTCAAAATGTAGTTGCCTCAGCCTTCTTATATTTGCTTCTGTGAACTGTGGAAGGTTTCTGGCCAGAATGTCAATTCAGTCATTTGCAACTATATTTGTGTCACTACTAGCTCCAGCAGTAAGGCCCAACAGGTCTACGGAAATTCCCGTTTTGTTAGGCCGGTCTGTGCTCACCATTGCTATCCAGTAAATTTACACACAAATTAAACTATAGTTTCATTAACTTGCAACATATTTCATTTAATCAATTATCATTATGAAGACAAATAAGTGAGCCATTAGAAAACAGAATAATAATAATAAAATATTCAAAAAAATATGTTGCAAGTTAATTAAACTGTAGTTTAATTTGTGCATAAATTTACTCGATAACAATGGTGAGCACAGACCAGATGTGGACTGGCTTAACAAAATGGAACTTTCCGCAGATCTGTTCGGCCTTACTGCTAGAGCTGGCCGTGGTTTTTGTAAGGTAAACTAGTTCTAGTTTCTATTTTTGTTGACTGACACTATGCATGGGCATTTACAGCTCGCTCTTCAGGCAGAACAGCTCAGGCTTTTATGTGGCTGGGATCACAGGACTATTCCAGTGTGTGTGTGCTAAGTGATTCTTTGAGCATGATCTGGCGGGTCGAGGCAGGCTGGTTGCGCAGACAGTAGCTTGAGTCGTTGCATAATTCTCCTGTGTGCGCAGTTACTTTCACATTCCTCCTAGGGCATGCAGGCGTTGTTGGTAATGAGAGAGTTGATAGACTGGCAGGTTCTGCCTTAACTGAAGATGGCTGGCCCATGGATCACGCAGACATTGTCATTGCCCTTAGAGAGATCGGCACAGCCAAGCATGAGAAGCACACCGGACGCACATGAAGTCTTGTTAACCATCATAGGCCTGGTACTATCAATCGCACAACGCTGATGAATATGTTGAGAATGGAATATGAGTGCCTATGGATGTGTCCGGAGTGCTGTGAAGATAATCTAACTCATAACTCAAGAGAACCGGTAAAGGCTGAAATAAAGTATAAATTCAGATTTTGTTTTTAAAGTCTACAATAGATGTTTATAGACTTGAACAAACACTATAAGAAACACTGACATAAATAGTGAGATACATGATGAGATACATGGTGGAACAAATATTGGTACACAGGAGGTCAAATACTGAGATGACATAAAAAGCTCTATTCCACCCACCTGCCCTTCCTTCGCAGCATGCCTGGCCAAGCGTGGGTCCCGGTTGACTGGTGGAGCCACTGGTTTGGTGGCAGTTTTTGCACTGCTCTGACCAGCACGTTTTTTACTGCTAAGACTGCTGGTGTCACTGGTCTCCCCACCATGCTTGCCTCGCTGACGAACAAGAATCCCTAGCAACATGTGTGGTCGATTCTCCTCCAAACCTGAGACCAACAAAGGCTTGGGTTAATGAACACTGTTGCTACAAATTCTACTCCCTGTAGGACACATCACTGTAATAGTGACTTTTAACAATAACATTACTACTACAGCTACAAGTTCCCTATAGAACAAACTGTTTAACCCTTTAAAGACAGAGCCTTATTTGGAGTTCAGTGCTGTTGTGGAGTGAACAGCCAACCCTACACTGTGGATGAGTCGTGACGCTGACACCCCTAAGCAGGCACGTCACATTTCAAATTTAAACCCGTCCGGGGGGTATATAGTCCCTTATATTGATATAAACCTCTATCTGGTGAAATAAACACTTCTGGACCCTCTAGCTGTTTTGAGAAGTCTACATTTTCAAACTTGCAACTGTGGGATGAAGATTTCTTGTGTATAATTCAGAAATTCCTGTAAGCCTTTTTACTCCTTGGGCACGAATACAGGGACTTCTTTCCTAGAGACGCCAAGTTTAGTCTGAGCGGGCATTCTTTTGCCAAACTTCTGAGGTGTCGGAAGACTTTGTAATTCGCTCCTCAACTTTGTCGCTTTCAAAGTACCAGTTAATCCTTGAAGGATTCCTAAGCTTGGATAAGTTGATTATATTTTACGAGTACCATGATATATGTCTCTTTAAAGAGGCCACTGCTGCAGGGAGGGAAGATTCAGCTGTGTGATCGCACAGAACTGGGCCGTTCTTGATATCCAGACACTCCAGGCTTAAATCAAACCTTTCCCTTCACGGGCTAACTAGCTTGTGCCGTACATAACACACCATTGTAAAAATATTAAATACAGCAAGTTAATTATTCTCTAACCAAACACAGGAGTTATATCGATTAACAGACATTTGTAAACGGGGTCATCCTGCCTTCGGCTAAGCTGTGACGTCAGAGCTTGGCGCTCTGAGTCAAAGGTTAACTTTAGTACCACAACATTGGGTGTGTAGTCAGCTTGTGGAGAGATGAAAAATTTTCATGTACGAACGGAAAAGAATGTGTGTCTGCGGGTGCAAATGGGAGGGTGGAGAGAGGATGTGCTATGTGTAGTAATATCTATCTATCTCCACTATGTACCTTATCTTCTATCTGGTTACTGACTTACAGACAGAGAAATGAAAGGGGACATGGTCTCCTGTTCTGGAGAGTATACTCTGAGTGACTAGAAGGGTAGCGGAAGATAAGTTGAGCTGGTGTGTGCATCTTAAGATGATTACTAATTCTTGTTTTTTTTCCTGACAGGATGAAATCTCCTTAGAGGTCAGGCAGGCGAATCACAGTCCAACCAGCAATCACCAACCCATAACCAGCAATCACCATACCATTCCTATCACAAATCCTACCCAAAACCCTACCTATTGTAGGCAGAACATCAACATGGCAGGAGTTTGTGTGTGAGTTCCAGTGGCTGAGTGACAGTCTTGCAGGCCACGTGTCATCAACCCAAGGAATCCTTCTTCAGGAGCTTGTGTGTGAGTTCCAGTGGCTGAGTGACAGTATTGCAGGCCACCTGTGTCATCAATCCAAGGAAGTCTTCTTCAGGAGCTTTGTTGGGCTCCAGTGAAGTTTCTTTGTCCTCATAAGAGAGATGATCAGTGGGTGCCAGATCAATTGAATATATTACATGCATTCTCAGAAATTTTCCTGGCTGACTTGGGTGTCCCTGCTTTACCATTCTAACTGTCTAGTTTTATGTTTGTGTGATTAATAAGTGTAATCTGTGTTAACATGGCTATGATAGTATCCTATCATAACCTGGAGGCTAGCTTTTTATAGTAGTGGGGGTGTCCAGCCAAGTGTGCCTAGGAATATTAGATATTCTGTAGTGCGAGAGCTTGAGTTGCCCTACTCCTGAAATAAGTTGGGCGTATATTGTCCACGGGATCTCCCTTAGACCAATACGAGCCAACGCCTCAACATTATTATTTCAGAGTGCTGTTGGTTCTTAAAGAGAAATCCTGAAATCAGGCACGCGACACAAGCGGTATATGACAAGTGCCAAGAAGACAGCCTTCAGGATGGGATTCTCTTAATTTGCACATACAAAATTATAACAATTAAATTGTTTAATTGACATATACAAAACTCTACATATTGTTGTAGAAAATTGAATGAACTAACACAATCATTATGAATCATGCTGACATTCAATGGCATCTCGACATTTATACAAATTAGCTATGCTGATTTGCATATTTATGCATGCATTTTTTTTTAAAACTTAGGGCAAACATGACTAAATTTAACAATGTGGGTAAATTTTCTGATAAATGAATCCTGAATAAGCCCTAACACTTTTGTGTTTTGGGACAAGAGGACCATGGAGGCCCTTTAGACATCTCCTCTATATATTTTGGTTGCTTTGATGCTACTGTCCTTTTTACCATTGTTGGACACAGGTAATACCCCAAAAATTTGATGTAAAATTACAGAATGCAAAAACTTTCATGAAAGCCACCATTAAACAGCCCAGGTGTGCAAGAAATGTTAAAAGCAATCTGACTGTCTGGTATTAAGATCAGCCAGCCAATCTCAAGGCTTATATTACTCCACTGACAGATTGGTCCAGCCATCTTTTTGGCTATTTTGATGTAGGGCCGACAGATCGGCCAGTCATCCACAAAGGGTTGCTGCCATTACAACTTCATGCTCCTTACAGAGTTGAAATAACTAACATCTAACAAACGTTTTTTTAAAACTACTATAATTTAAATCTTCTGCAAACAGTAGAAAGATGGATACAGGAAATTAACAATATAGTGTTATTCTACTAACACTTACGGGGAGCCATGGTAGCATAGCAGATAGATTCTCACTTGTCAGCCATAAGGTCAAGGGTTTAAATATGCATCAAGACAGATTTTTTTCAAAATTGATCTTTGCTGCTAGGTTGACCCAACCTAAAATGGGCACCAGGTAATGTAAGTAAAATGATCAAGAAAGGACCTTTTTCCACACATTCAGTTATATTGGGCATACAGAATTAGACCTATATTAAGTGCTCCGTTCTACTTCTAACTCAAGCTTCAGTTCGAAGAAATTCAGCGCAGTGCACAAACTCCATAGCACCGGCAAGGATCCTTAAATACTCTGGGTAGATTTTCAACTCAAAATTTTGCCTAGGCAGCGTCGTTAGGCTACACTTTCCAACTGTCAAGAGATTTTTTTTATGTGCGCAATAATACACACGGGCATCCAATCTTACTACACGGAGACCAGAGGAAATTATCATAAGTCCACTTGAAAAAATCCCAGCCTTCACCGGGGCCTGAACCTGGGACCTCTAGCATTTGAGGCGTAAGCCATGCCCTGAGACTACTCAGCCCATTCACTATTAAACATTCCAGTTCCTTTTCCTGCATAGCATAAAAATGCACCACTTTCCTCTAATCATTTCTAAACCTGATTTTCCTCCTACATCCATCTTTTCTATTCTTATTCTCTAAATTGCCTTTCACCTGTCAACAATTATCTACTCCTGGGTTTTGTCTAAGACATTGCTTGTGATGTTCCACTGTTCTTCTCTTTGTGTTTAAGCTACCACTTGCCCATTTCTTTAATTCGCAAGATAGCAGAAAAGGAGAAATATTATTTTTTTAAAAGACATTACCTGGTCCATCAAATGGTAGAAGTGTACGGGGAATTTTACTGTGGGAAGCCAAGGGGACCACGTAGAAATCCTTAACATGCTTTTCTAGGTTTCCTGCCACGCCACATCGACCTCGACTGTTGAGGTAGGAGTAGAGGTGAACGTACGCAACCTTCTCATCGTCGCTGCCTGGGACAAACCTGATTACTGTCATATCCTGAAAGAATCAAATTACCAAGTGAAAATAACAATTATTTTTTTTTACTGACCATTTACAACACATGAACATTCACAGGAGACAATCCACATACTTTGAGCACATCACAGTACAAGGATGTTGAGAACATCATAAACACTAAAGATGTAACTTTTTAGACAGATGTTGAGAACATCACAAACACTGAAGATGTAGTTTTGTAGATAAATGCTGAGAATGTCATGGACAGTGAAGATGTGGTTCTGTAGAAGGATGTTGAGAACATCATGGACAATGAAGATGTGGTTCTGTTGAAAGATGTTGAGAACATCATGGACAGTAAAGATGTGGCTCTGTAGAAGGATGCTGAGAATATCTATGACAGTGGATATGTGGTTCTGTAGAAGGATGTTGAGAACATCTATGACAGTGAAAATGTGGCTCTGTAGAAGGATGCTGAAAATATCATGGACAGTGAAAATTTGGCTCTGTAGAAGGATGCTGAGAATATCTATGACAGTGAAGATGTGGTTCTGTAGAAGGATGCTGAAAACATGTATGACAGTGGAGATGTGGTTCTGTAAAAGGATGTTGAGAACATCATGTACAGTGAAGATGTGGTTCTGTAGAAGAATGCTGAGAACATCAGGCACAGTGAAAATGTGGTTCCGTAAAAGGATGTTGAGAAAATCGTGGACAGCGGAGATGAAGTTCTGTAGAAGGATTTAAAAAATATTATGGACAGTGAAGATGTGGTTCTGTAGAAGGATGTTGAGAATATCATTGACAGGAAGGTGTGGTTTTGTAGAAGAATGTTGAGAAAATCATGGATAGTGAAGAGATCAAAAACTGGGACCCTCAGAGCTGAAGATGTTACAAGATAATTCAAAAAAAGATAACAAAAAGGTCAGTTGCACATCTGTGTACAGAATGTTGCAAACCACTTCTAGCATTTATTGGCAATTAGTGCTTTTACTAGGTAATATTACAGTCAGTAGTTTGCCATTGCTTTCTCAACAGCCAGTGCTCATTACACCTTGCTGAAGTAATGCAAAACAGTCTGCCGACAAATCACTTGCAGAAGAAACAAACCAGGCATTTCAGAGTTATGAACTGCATTTGCAAGCCCTAAGCTAAAGATGCAACCAAAAGCATAAGGAAAATATACATTTATGTGGCATATTTATAGAAGAAAACAGAGGAAGAAGCGGAAAACCTGAAACAGCTGGACAACAAATAACAATATAAGCAACCTCAACTTCATCAAAATGACAGAGAGGACCGAAGAGTCCTAATCACAGAAGCTCAACTGCTGACCCAATTCTTGGGTTCATATCCACACTGAGTCAGCTTTTTTAAATTTCCAAAACTAACTCTTCTTCCTAGGTCAACAGAGCCTTAAATGGGGACCAGGTGACGCCCCGGGAAGAAAAGGTGGGAGCCTGATGTAGATCACAATCTAATTTTCTGCATGCTCTTGTCTAAGAATCATCAAGAAGAACAATTAGGAATGCCAAAGCCACAGATTATAAAATTATACTGGTATATGGTATATTATGTTTGATTCTCCCTTCTTTGACTATCACATCATTTTGCCTCTCTCTTTTAAAATGATGTCTCTAAAGGAGACCAAATAATTATCATTATTGAACAGTATATTGAACTGTCCCAGGCTGACCCAGCCTTAAGTGGGTACCGGGTACAGTCCCGAGTAGAGGAGGCTGGCATGATGCTGACTACATCACCCATCTTGTGCCGATTGGTCTATTAAAAAAATACAGGTCTAGCTCTATATGCCCTATATGCCTAAAAGCGTGGAAAAGGGTCCTTTACTTACTTACTTACATTTAACTGTACAAACTGGGAGGGAGTTTACTTAACCACTGGAGCAAACATAAGAATGAATGAATTTTAGTGCCAACTCAACCAGATTCACCACCCCTACAGCTGTAATTGAAGAGATTCGTGCAAAGATGTCTCTACGTCATGTAATTACACTAAAACGTTATAAAAACCAAATACAGAGACACACAAATATATGCACACTAGAAATCTGACCTTTGACCCTCCCTGGCGGATCCTGGACAGGTAGTCCCACATGTGTTCTGGAGAGATTCTTCCTAAAATATGGATGGTGTCTGGGATTACCTGTCAAATAAAAACAGCTTCAGCTTAAAAGAACCTATTGATGTCAATTAACTCTTAACTGATTCCATCCATACATACAATCTACCCTGCCACTGTGATGTCAATGAACTCTTAACTGATTCCATCCATTCTGACAATCTGACAACAGATTTGTGTACTTGTTTTTCCAAGAAGTTGTAGCGTCTAGTAACAGAACTGTCAAGCAGAGATGGAATCAGTGTGTCAGTTCAAGTGGCGATTATTCCTCGCACTTTTCCCTCTTTCCACAACGACAGTGTTATCATGTGCTATGGGGAGGGCAGGGGAATCACAGCCCCTGGCAATGGACAATTAAGGCCACAGTGATGAAGTTTCTTGGCATGAGTTAGTTGAGGGCCTATGCTTCATTGGGGGCTAGAAAGGCAGAAGAAGAAGTTGTTTCTCCTCTCCATAGCACAAAGCCTTGGCAGTACTGTGGATACCATATGTTGCTTATACATCATGATCCCTCCTTCGGCATGGCTTGTTAACTCTAAAGAACAGGTACAAGTGGTGGTTGTGCTGATTAGGAATAAATCTGTCACTACTGGATTCATTCTGCCACTCTTTAGGTTCTTGTAGGGCAGGAAGTTTATTTTAGGCTGGCTGAGAATTTAGGGCTGTGTGGTAGTAAAGTTGCCACAAACTGTGTGGGGTTTAGATTTATGTTTTGTTTTCAAAACAACATTTCCATTATCTTACACAGGATTCTTCTTCTCTCGTTAGCAATCACCGGCTGGAGTATACAGCGGAAAGTTCCGGTTGTTCACCCACTCCTGGACTTTGGTCTTGTTCCAGAACTTGCTAAGTTTTCCATGCACATGTGGATTACCTATATGCTAACTGTTGGTTCTGTGCCACTCAGGCAGATGCACTCTGTTTCTGATGGAAACATCCCTAATTAATCCCCTTCCACAATATGCTCATTGAAAAATGGGATTCCCGGGTGGGCCATGGGTGTATTCTTTGTTCGTTCTCCAAAACATGCTCATTGAAAAATAGGATTCCAGGGTGGGCCATGGGTGTATTCTTTGTTCGTTCTCCAAAACATGCTCATTGAAAAATAGGATTCCAGGGTGGGTCATGGGTGTATTCTTTGTTGGTTCTCCAAAACAGAGCCTGGAACCCCCATAAGGAAACCAAGGATTCAAATCTGTGTCTCCAGGATAACAGTTCTGTGTTCTAATCATTTAGCCACATGCCATCAATAAAGAATAAACACTCCAAAACATTAGTTTTACATTAGTTCCTTCATAGCCAGAGTAAAGACTTATGCCTGACCCCATCCCACAGGAGAAACCAGACACAACTTACTACACGATCCACTGGGCTATACACAGGATGTCGCAGTAAAAAACTGGATCACTTCAAGCATGCAGACACAACTTACCACTTGATCAGTGGGACCGGACACAAGATAAGCCGAAGTAAAAAACTTGGCCACATCAAGCATGGAGACAAAACCCTTCCACAGCATGGGGCCAGTCGGAGTAAACTTGTTCTTGGTTTCCAGGCCAGCCTGCAGGGCTGAGTCTGGGGATCTGGACAAGATGTACACACACCGTTATCATCTGAACATTCCAAAAACAGTAAACATGCAATTCTATCCTCGATACTGCTGCAAAGTGACAGGATTTTACATATATTAAGTTACTGCAACAGCTGCTACCATGGATTTTAAAGGGGAAAAAAACACGCACACACTCAAACATACAGAACAAATGAATTATGAATGAAGTTTTATTTTAAAGGGTCACAAATTAGCCACACAGATCCATTTTACATTTAGCCTTTTCAAACACCCATCTTTCACACAGCAATTGCATTTTTATCAATAAAGCATATCATGTTCATACAACATTAGGCATAATATGAATATGAACAGACACACACACACACACAGAGGGAGGGAGAGGGAGGGAGGGAGAGAGAGGGGGGAGAGTGAGAAGGAGGGGGAGAGAAAGAGAGAAAGAGGGGGAGAGAAGCATATATACATCATTAGTTTCACAACCACTGCAATAATTTAAACTATCTACTGTTTAGATCACAGCAGTAGATTCTCAGCTCAGTGCATGACAGTCATAGACTGGACACAGATCCCCATGTGTAAACACCAAAAACTCACACACACTGTACCTAGTTTTCTGGGATCAGATTTGGAAATAAGCTGGTCTGGATTTGCAGAAGAGCTAAGTGAGCTCTGAGTGCATCTTCTAAAAGCCACAGTGTGCAACAATGATTAAGTTAAAGGAAGTGTTAACAGCTAAACACACACACTCAAACCTCTTCTCAGAATGAAAAGATATTTAACTGAAAAATGCACAGGCAGAATGATTAAAACAATTACTAAAAAAAAAATATAAAGAAATACACAAATATTCATTAACTGATACACGTGCAGAACAGAAGGAGTAAAACGGCATAACATACAAGAGAAAGTCATTAAGTAAAGGGCAGCTGTATCCTAGTCTGTACAGAACCGTATGCTGAAGATAAAATACTATTTCAGGAGACCTAAGTATTGAAAGCATCTAGCAAATGGCCCAGACATGGGACCGTCGGACTTTCACGTGTTTGGCACATTGAAAGAATATTTGCAGGGTCAGAGATTTGCAGATGACAATGAGGTGATGTCGATGGTGCGAGCCTGGTTACTAGCCACACTCAAAAGCTTCCACCTGGCGAGCATTCACAAGTTTGTGGAATGGTGGACTAAATGTGTGGCAAGGCAGGGGAACTGTGTTGAAAAAAAAAGGACACAGAAAGTTTTTGTTCCGGCTGCTTGTAAAAAAAGTATTAATGCAACTGCCTTTACTTTATGACTTCCCCTCGTAATTACTCATGCTCAGCTTAGTAAAAGAACTAATTCTAACATCAAGACATGGGGGAAAGATGGTGGTGTCGAATAGGACAAGCAATGAAAAACAAAACCTGATAGCAATAAAACTAGAGTGCACTTGCACTGGAACTTGCCAGGCAAAGGGAACAGAAGGAAACTTAAGAACACATGAAGAGGAGAATCTGAAGCAGTGATCAGTGATAACAGGATGACATGGAGTGAGCTGCAAAAGACGACAAAAGATGGGATGGCTTTATGTGAGTTAAGTGAGGGCCAGCTGCAAAAGATGACAATATATGAGATGGCTTTATGTGAGTTAAGTGAGGGCCAGCTGCAAAAGATGACAATATATGAGATGGCTTCATGTGAGTTAAGTGAGGACAGCTGCAAAAGATGACAAAAGATGGGATAGCTTCATGTGAGTTAAGTGTGGGCCAGCTGCAAAAGATGACAAAAGATGGGATAGCTTCATGTGAGTTAAGTGTGGGCCAGCTGCAAAAGATGACAAAAGATGGGATAGCTTCATGTGAGTTAAGTGTGGGCCAGCTGCAAAAGATGACAAAAGATGGGATAGCTTCATGTGAGTTAAGTGTGGGCCAGCTGCAAAAGATGACAAAAGATGGGATAGCTTCATGTGAGTTAAGTGTGGGCCAGCTGCAAAAGATGACAAAAGATGGGATAGCTTCATGTGAGTTAAGTGTGGGCCAGCTGCAAAAAATGACAAAAGATGGGATAGCTTCATGTGAGTTAAGTGTGGGCCAGCTGCAAAAGATGACAAAAGATGGGATAGCTTCATGTGAGTTAAGTGTGGGCCAGCTGCAAAAGATGACAAAAGATGGGATAGCTTCATGTGAGTTAAGTGTGGGCCAGCTGCAAAAAATGACAAAAGATGGGATAGCTTCATGTGAGTTAAGTGTGGGCCAGCTTCAAAAGATGACAAAAGATGGGATAGCTTCATGTGAGTTAAGTGTGGGCCAGCTGCAAAAGATGACAAAAGATGGTATAGCTTCATGTGAGTTAAGTGTGGGCCAGCTGCAAAAGATGACAAAAGATGGGATAGCTTCATGTGAGTTAAGTGTGGGCCAGCTTCAAAAGATGACAAAAGATGGGATAGCTTCATGTGAGTTAAGTGTGGGCCAGCTTCAAAAGATGACAAAAGATGGGATAGCTTCATGTGAGTTAAGTGTGGGCCAGCTTCAAAAGATGACAAAAGATGGGATAGCTTCATGTGAGTTAAGTGTGGGCCAGCTGCAAAAGATGGGATGGCTTCATTGAGTTAATTGTGGGATAGTTGCAAAAGATGGGATGGCTCTATGTGAGTTAAGTCTTGGCCAGCTGCAAAAGATGACAAAAGATGGGATGGCTTCATGTGAGAAGTGTGGGCCAATGTTCCAACAGGGAAATAAAGAGAATAAAATAGGGGTAGGAGAGGAGGAGAAGCAGATCAAGAGGAGTAAGAAAAAGAAGATAAAGATAAATAATAAAGAAGAAATGAAAAAGCAAGAGAAAAAGAAAGTGCATAAGCCTACCTAACAACAACCCTCTTCCTTGTAGAAGATGATGCAGTAGATGATGCTGAAGATGATGATTCCCGACGAGAGATTTTCAACTTGGGGGGGCTCAGTGGTGGAGTCTCCTCAAGTTTTGGGGACACGGACACAATCTTGGACATGGACATCACAGACTGTTCCATTTTCTGTACAGTTTCTAAAGCTTCTTTAACAATTTCCTCGGCTTTCTCATAATCTATTTTATCTGCTTCAGAACTTTCTGGTTCCGGTTCAACCTGGGACTTTGCTGGAGCAACTACTGTCACCTATAGAAACAGATTGGAAATAATTTAGTCTACGAGTAATTTTCACAAAAACTACACATATTTTCATTTCATTTAATATAATTTTTTTAAATACGATTGTTAAATACTAATTTCTAAATCTCAAGATTAATACATATTTTCATTTTATCAAACTTTAAAAAGACTATTGTATAACACCCATTTCCAAATCTTAAAGATGAATTAGGTCTGTGGTGCTAGTCCCTGATTGTAGAGACCAACCTGCACTCAGGGGTTGAGTGGTTAATACTCCCCAGCTGCCTTTTATTTCAGACATGTTTTAGCATTCATTTTTAGGTTGGGGCGACCTGGAAGCTCAGGCTAATATATTACAATCCATCTTCGAGAGGATCTGAACTCAAGACAACAAACTGGTGGGCAAGCAGGCTAGCAAATGTGCCGCTAAGGCTCCCATTTCCTCTTTATAATGAAGAGTGGCCTCAATGGATGTCCCAACATTTTTTTTCTGTCTTGAGCTGTAGGCTCTGATAGACTAGGTCATTCATCTCTTAACTTTTTAAGTCCTAGGGAATTTAGCATCAGAGACCAAGGAGTAGTCAAGATAGATAAAAAAATCAGCATATTTTGCATTCATCAGGCTTCTATGAATGCATGATATATTCTGTAAGACTGAAAGGAATAATGTTGCCTTCCTCATTGTGTCACTACTTACTTTTTTATTTCCTGCCTCTGGCTTAGATGCCAGTGAATGCATTTAACAATTTCATGCTCCATAACTAACAGGGTTGGATTTCTCTGCTTGCAGTTGTTGTTGTTGTTGTAATGATAGGAGAGATGCACTATGGAAGAGACTGTGACATCACTAAAGAAAGCAGCAGGAACATTACAGCCAACCTACACTGCAGAGATGGCACACCATCTGTTTTATTTCCAGCCTTTTCCTCAAGAATGGTTTTTTATAAAACTCATTGCGCATTAAGTACCAAATAACAGAACTTGTGTTTTTTAGCAAGACCATACAAATCGGTGTCCATCATGGAGTCATTATATTAACACACTTTCATCTAACTACTGCCATAAATTATTTTGTTGAAAAGAGTCATTATTTGAACACATTTTGTTATCATGGAATTTCCTGCCAAGGAAATTCTGGTGTGTAGGGTAATGAGCAGGCTGGTAGATTAGCTGCTGCAATTCCTATGGGCTGTGAACTATTTCATGATACAGCCGACGTGGTGAAGGCTCTCTGCGGTCAAGTGGACAGTACCAAAATCAGCATCGCAATAAAGGTCAATAGATACAAATTACTGATATTGTCTATTTTCTTATACAGATGCAAGAGTTGAACTCTCACTGTGGTAATGGAACAAGTTCAGGCTTTTGAATATAAATGCTACTGAAATATTTTATGAATCAGTTATTTACAACATTCTTCTCTTCTTCTGCACGTTCACCAGCTGTAAACTCTGACAGAAAGTTCTGATTGTTCATCTACTTCTGGACTGCAGTCCTGTTCCAGAACTTGAGCGTTGCTTGTGCATCAGTTAGACAGATCTGAATAATTTTTATACAGACTGTTGGTTCCTTGCCTCTCAGGCAGATGTACTTCGACTTTAAAGAAAGCTTTCAAGTAGTCGACTCCTACAACATGCGTTTTGGTAGGCAGTGGGTCTATTCCTGTTTTCCCTTTAACAAGGCCCCGGAACCCAAACGGGGAATTTACAACATAAAACTAATAAAATATTTCAGAGTCTAAATAAAAAAATTTTCAGAACATGAAGAGCCTCATTTGGCAGTGGTGAAACACTGCAAGCTAGGTTGGTTTGGGCACGTAATGAGAGATTATTCAGTTGCAAAGACTGTACTTCAAAACACTGGGGGGTAATCGAAAAAGAGGAGAGCAAAGACGAACCTAAAATGACAACATCAAGAAATGGACAAGACTAGGTTAATATACACCTGTTTAACAAGCCGAAGGCAGAGAACTATTGTGGGTTTTGTGTGTTGGCAATTCCATCAACAAACCTTCACAGTTCTAACGGGTTACGGTTATGTTATGTTTTGTTACAACAGAACACAGTATCCATACCTTGAACTGATTCAACAGAGAGAAGAAGAGGATCTGGACAGCATTCTACATTCAGAGGAAAAGAAAGGCAGACTTTTAGTCAGATTACAGTTGGTACCAGGAGGAACACTAGTACAGAAAATCTTCAATGGCTATTGACGAAGGGGAGAGACCTTTCTGTGGGAATGACCTGAGTACAGTGATTTCTGTTCTTGATTCATTCATTCACACTATTTCAGACCTGTCAAATATTAGTTTTAAAAAAAAAAACATAATTTAAAAAAAGTCGCTTTGGAAATAAAGGGACAAAATAATCAGGTAATCCCAATTCTAACTTCAAAAGAAATGGGACACCCAATAGATGCTCCATCCTTGTGCCAACAGAAACCACAGAGAATGCTCCTCACTGTCCCTTGAGAAATAATGGACAAAGACTGTAGTCTCCGCAAAGCCAATAGCACACACATACATTAAATGCATAAGGCAGCCATCAGAAGTGCCAACACAAACAGTTCAGCATTAGCAACGCAGTTCACCATCGACGGAAAGCAGCCACAAATCAAGTAGTTGCACATGTAACTAACCATAAAAGGCATCAGTAGTCCTCCAGGCATAGGCCCCTAGCCATTTTCTAAATGTGCTGTCCCCATTACTAGCCACGATGGGCTCAGTCGAAAGGCACTCCTATCAAACTCCGCAGCTCACATGCTGTGCCATGTGCTAAATTCAATAGCTGGGTGATGGAACCATATACTTTCAGTTCATATATAGGAGAAAATGCAATGGCTTACCACTGTCAGAAGCAAAAAGCAATGACTACAAACAATGAGTCCATTTTTCCGCGACGCTAGACTGGAAGTACAGATAAATAACTCTGCCTGGTAGTGAAAAGGTTAATAAAGACGACCAAAAAAAATTCCACTTGTGGTATTTCTTTCACTGTCATCACTAAATTCATTTCCAGTCTTTCTAAGATTTCAAAATAAAAAAATTTTTGTTTCCATGAAACACCAACAATTCTTCTGTACAAGGTACTGGCCATAAGTCTATACCCTGACTATGAAGCAGTAAAAGAAGCAAAATGAACTAGAAATGTTCAAAGTTCCTCATACTGACTGTTAACATGTGAAGTATGTATTTTTTCAATAGATTATGCTTTTTGAATTCCTAATGGTAGTGACAGCACCCTTTATGTGACCGAGAAAAATTTATACAGAAAGAATAAGACACCCGCACCACTGTCACCCACACACACCCCATACCACTGACTTCCCCATAAACCCACACCACTGACTCCTACACACACCACCGACTCCCACACACACCATACACTGTAACATTACCTTCTCCGCCGCTGCCATGACCGCCTGCTCCTCAGGACCAAGGACAATCTTCCCTGTGCACACCTTACAATTGAGGTCAAACAGGTGAGCCCTGTGTTGGTCAGTGGTGTCTGTGACCGCTGCAGCATGGGTCAGCTCCTCCTGTAGTTCAGGCTCCGTTTCTTTCCTCTCCTCTAAACGAGTCTAGCCAGAACAAGAGCATATCTTAGATAAAGGGGGACACGAATGGTACCAGTACTGAGAATGGTTAACAGGAACAACATGCCATGGATCATGTTGCATGGAAGGGGGAAAAAATCAGAAAGAAATAGTAAACAAAGGAGAACATGATTTAAAATAAGTAACGAGCTGAGCGTTTATTAAGAAGAAACACGTAAAATACATGCAACAGCAATAATGATCTTAAAATGCCATGCATTACTGTGAAAGACTTTTCTTGATCCAAACCTTATCTGTTAGTTACACTCATCACTGACTGTGTTTCCCCATGCCTTCCTATAGAACAATATGACACCATTGTCTGTAAAAACTGAAAGTTGCCAGCAACAAACAGCAGAGCCTTCACAAAGTCAAAACACTCGCATATATATATCGCCTTTTGGCTGAAACAAAAATACCCAGCACAAACCAACAATGATAAGATGACACAGTGATGATCCAACATACCTCCAGAATGCTCAAGTCCTCATCCTCCACCTCCACTTCTCCCTTGTGGGTTTTCTTGATCACATGTTTCATTGTCTCACTCTCCTTCATGGCCTCTTGTTCTGTTTTCTCAATCATCTCCAGCTCCTGGGGAACATCCAACAAATCAATTCTGACATAACATCAACAAATCACGAAGCAAGTCCGTCTTTCAATTTTATAAACTCTCTAACATGAGTGGCTTAGGCAGGATAATATCTAACCCATACACTGTGGGACATGAGTGCGACCCTCAGTTAAGAAAAAAAAAACCAGTTCATCTTTACAAAGGAGATTGGCTGGAGTGGATGTATGCAATCACTGTCAACTTTAGGAATACTACCAGCGTTCCACAGTTCAAAAGCCACAAGAATGGTTTTTTCCTAAACCATCTGGAGTGAAAATCAAAGCCTGGAACATAGAGACTGTGAAACAATACAAGCTCTCCACGACTAACCTCCAAGTACCACCTGTGATTTTTTTTTTTTTTCTGTAAAAAAAATCCTAGACTGTATACTACGCAGTAATTGAATGAGCAAGCAGACTTGATGTCTCAACCTGGAAGAAATGTTCGTACCCATTTAAAACTAGGTCAATCTGGAAGCCAAGGCGAATTCTGAAATAAAAAATCCTCCCTGTATTGGTTTGGGACCCCATTGTGGGTTTTTGAAAAGGAAAAAAGATAAGAGAATGGACACAGTGCTCTATAACAATTATGTCATAAAAGTAGAGTAATCAGGAGTGGTTTTCTTTGAAGTCAGGGCACATGTGTCTGAGAAGTGAGAAACCAACAGTCTGCATACAAGTAAGCCGGATCAGAAAAATGGATGTGCACGCACAATTTAAGTTCTGGAATGTGACCGGGGTTCAGAAGTGAAAAAACAACCAGAACTTTTCACCAAAGTTAGCAGCTGGTGAATGCTAAAAAGAAGAAGAAGAAAAATCTAACTCAATTCGGATGCAAACCTTCAGGCCAGCAGGTGAGTGTGCTCTTACCATTTTCCCAAATATCTGATTGTACTGCTTAAGTATTGTTCCTTCTATTGATATAAAACATTTTAATGTGTGTGTGTGTGTGTGTTTTTTTAAAAATTGTTGTAAAAATCCATTTGTTTTGTTAAATTACAAGGAATTTCAGAGAACTAGTACTGTAGATCAGGCCATTTAGGGATTTGAAAACAAAAATATATTAACATCTACAGTTATATATATATATATATATATATATATATATATATATATATATATATATATATATATATATATATATATATATATATATATATATATATATATATATATATATATATATATATATATATATATATATATATATATATATATATATATATATATATATATATATATATATATATATATATATATATATATTAGGGCTATACCGAATATTCTCTTCATATTCGCTTCGGGGGCCGAATAGTGGACCTAATAACTATTCGGTATTCAGCTGAATAGTTGCGGTCGGGCCAAATACGAATAGTGGTTACCTTACACCCGTTTCTGGACTGGTGGAAAAAAAACATATCAAGATTTCCCACCTTGGTTCATACTGTCAAGCGTTATCTTTGTGCACCACCTACGAGCGTACCAAGTGAACGTCTGGAAATACCTTCAGTGAGACAAGAAGCTACCTCAATGCTGACAACACTGAACAATTTTTTTTTTATTTTAAAGCTAGTGCCGCTATCATTGATTAACTAAGCTGTCAGTGACAATTTACAAGTTTAGTTACTTGTTATAAAACTAAGAATACTTTCTTTCCTTACCTATGTATTAGTTACCACAGATTGACTGACTGAAGGATGCAAAACTGACATTTTTTAAATGTTTACTATTCTGTACTACATTTTGTGATGTAAAATTTCAGCGTACATTTGACATTATGGATTCTTTTTTTTTTTTTAGATCTATTTTATACACGAAAGTGGAAGAATGGGCCTCAGTTTGAATAGTCAGAAGACAAAAGTAAGGTGGTATCAAAGAAAATAATTATTCCTAAATGAGTAATAAAAGTCAATGGTTTTATTTTGGGACAAGTGCAGAAATTTAAGCATTTGGGCACATGGATAACATAAGATGGAAGATGCATTACTGAAAAAAGAAACAGACTAGGACAGGCAAAAACTGCATTTTTTAAAATGAAGAACATCTTATGCAATATATCTTTGTCATTGAAGGTTAGAAAAAGAATTCTTGCTTGCTACATACATCCAGTTTTAATATATGGCTGTAAGTCCTGGACAATCGGTAGGCAGGCCAAATAATGTCTTGAGGCCTCAGAGATGTGGTTTTACAGAACAATGCTTAAAATTCCTTGGACAGGCAAAAAAAAAAAAAAAAAAAGCAACCTAGAGGTTTTAATAGAGGCGGGAGCCATAAGACAACTACTCACAGACAGAAGGAGACAGTCATCATTTTTCGGCCATGTTATAAGATGAGGAAAAATGGAACATGTGGTGACCACTGGAAAGATATGTGGAAGGAAGGATAGAGGAAGACAACGAGAGAAGATTCTTGACAGTCTTGTTGCATGGCATGGAGGTGTGTCAGCACACAAACTAATACATGCTGCAGGAGATCGCAGATTGTGGCGAGGCGTAATCGCCTATGCCAGTCGGCAAAGCACCTGATGATGATGATTCACTATTCGTATTCATATTCGGCTGAATAGTTTTTCCAGCTATTTGTATTCGGCCGAATAGTGAAAATCCCTATTCAGTACAGCCCTAATATATATTGGAAATAAAAATGTGCGTGACAATATTAACTGTGCATTTTTCTATTTTACGAGAGAGTTAACAATGAATAAGCAAACAGAAAATCACAGAGGCTCTGGATATACATTCACTTTGTCTGCACAGAAAAACAGGTCAAATATTATGAAACAAAACAAAAAATAATTACAGAAATCTTAGACAAGATAGCTGAAGAAATAAATAAAATAAATGTGTCAAAAATGCTGGCAATAGTTTTCTTTTGTTTCTGCCTTTAAAAAAAAGGTGATTGGTGTGTTGTGTTTTCAGCAAACTCTTAATTAGCCACCATTTACAACAAGTTTGTTAGGGAACAGTGCATCTATTATTTGTGCCCTCCCAAAATGGTGCCCTGGAACCCACATGGGGATATAGCCACTGTCAGAAATCAACCACTTCTCACTTACATGTTTGGTGGCTTGCTCTCTCCACTTGGCCAGTTCCTTGGAGGCCAGCTCTTCTGTACTCATCTGTACCAGTTGGTGGGGTTTGATTTTTCCGGTGAGGATTTTACGAAACAAACCCTGAGGAACAAAAACAAGCACAGCGTGCATGGATGATGCCAAATGAGAAAGAGTGTCTTTGCTGGTTTTAAGGAAGCCTCAATATCTTCTTCTTTTTCTTCTTCACGTCCACCAGCTGTAAACTCTGGCAGAAAGATCTGTTTGTTCGCCCACTGCTGAAATGTAGTCTTTTTCCAGAACCTGAATGTTGTGTGCACATATGTTTCATAGATCAGGCATATTTGTATGCCGACTCTTGGTTCTTTAGCTCTTAGACAGAAGCCCTCTAAATTGGAAGAATGCCCCCCAATTAGTCGAATCCTAAGACATGCTTTTGGAGGGGGAGGTAATGGATCTATTCTTGTTTTCCCCACAATGGAAATTGGAACCTACACAGAGATCACAGAGGACAATGACCACAACAAAGGTGGTGAAATTTCACCAGAGGTTATTCAAACCCATTGATATGGATAGATTCCAAACTTCAATACCCCAAGCTTCCTCAACCTACTCACATGGATAAACTATATGCCTCCTTTATCTCAATCAGGCAAACTATAAGCCCTCTTCATCTCAGTTGGATAAATGCAAGCCCTCTTCATCTCATTTGGATAAATACAAGCTCTCTTCATCCCACTTGAATAAATACTAGCCCCTTTTATCTCACCTGGATAAACTACAAGACCCCCCATCTCCCCCTTTAATCTCAACTGGATAAACTGCAGGCCTCCTTTCATCTCATCATCTCACTTGGATAAACTACAAGCCCCCTCCCCCTTTTTCATCTCTAATGAATAAACTATAAGCCCCCTTTCATCTCACTTGGATAAACTACAAGTCCCCTTTCATCTCACCTGGATAAACTACAAGTCCCCTTTCATCTAACCTGGATAAATTACAAACCCACTCCCCCCCCCCCCCCTTCTTTTCTTTTCATCTCATCTGGATAAACTACAAGTCCCCTTTATCATATTCAGGTAAGCCCAATTCATTGACTTAAAAAAAACCCTGCGAAGTCCAGATCCAAACATCATTATCATATCATGCCAATAACCACATGAAATCATAGGCTGCCCCCTCACATGATCACCAGCCCTGGATCAGGTCTGTGTTCTTATCCAGATTATGTCAGGTAGCAAAAGCCAACCAGGTATTTCTCTCTCTGTCCACCCTTTGCTCTTTTCCCATTAAGTTTCCCAGTTGTCACTAAGATTTCAAGTCAATGTCTCACGATAACAAAATGTCATTTTTCAGTCTACAGGTAATTTCTAGAGTCAATTTAGGGTTTTATCGGTTTCTTCAACTTATTCAATACCAAGCAACTCACCATGAGTCCACACCACCCTAAAAAGCGGTAAATATAGGCAGTGAATACAGAAGACTTTAAAAGTTAAATAAAACTCTAATTTTTCTGCCTGCCACTTGGTGTTCTTTGCATTTCGCTCACCTTGTTTTTCGGATCCTTGATGTTGAAGACCAGACTGCGGTACTTGGTGCGGTACTTATGCCCAGTGTCATTGAAAAGGTCAAAAAGCTCTTCCTCGATCGTCACAGCAAGGTTCTTGATTTCAGCACTAGACAACATGATATCCTCTGCCTCCTGAGCTCTGGTGAACATAATATACATACAAGACATTCAAACCAATGTTTCCCATTGTGAATTTAAATATCCCTGTATGGGTTCTGATGACCATTCTGGGGGAAAAGAACTGGACCCACTGCCCTCTTCCCTAACAAGCATGTCTTAAAATTCAACCATAGTAATTAGGGGTCTTTGCTTTGAAGTCGAAGTGCTCTGTCTGAGAGGTGGGGAACTAACAGTCTACATATCCAAAAGGTTTGAGGTTTTGAACAATGGATCAACATCATGGCACACAATATATTACCCATAAGTGCTCCAGTATTCTTTTAACTCAAGTCTGAGTTCGAAGAAGCTCAGCATAGTGCATAGTCTCTGTAGCACCGGCAAAGATCCTGAAATACCTAGGGTAGATATTTAACCTCTCAATTTTTCACGGGCAGCATCGTTATGCTACTTTTCGATTTCTAACTGTGAAGGGATTTCTTACATGCGCAAAAATGCACACGGGCATCCGATCTCACTTCCCAGAGACCAGGGGGAATTACTAGAAGTCCAAGTCCAAGTGAAAAATATCAGCCATTACAGGGGATTGAACCCAGAACCTCTTGCACTTGAGGCGGACACCATGCCTCGAGACCACGCAGCCCCCTTATAACCAAAATAAAAGCCAGATCTCTAAAATGGATGTGCACACAAATCTCAAGTTCTGAAACAAGACTTTCTGCCAAAGTTTAAAGGTAATGAATGTGAACAAGAAGAAGGAGAATTTTAAATTGGAGGATACAAAGAACATACTGATCCATTTTAATTTACCTTGTCAGGTAAATACAGAGTATACTGATCCATTTCAATGTATCTTGTCAGGTATATTACTACAGAGTATACTGATCCATTTCAATGTATCTTGTCAGGTATATTACTACAGAGTATACTGATCCATTTCAATGTATCTTGTCAGGTATATTACTACAGAGTATACTGATCCATTTCAATGTATCTTGTCAGGTATATTACTACAGAGTATACTGATCCATTTTAATTTACCTTGTCAGGTATTTTACTACAGAGTATACTGATCCATTTCAATGTATCTTGTCAGGTATATTACTACAGAGTATACTGATCCATTTCAATGTATCTTGTCAGGTATATTACTACAGAGTATACTGATCCATTTTAATGTATCTTGTCAGGTATATTACTACAGAGTATACTGATCCATTTCAATGTACCTAGTCAGGTATAAAACTACGGAGTATATTGATCCATTTCAATATATCTTGTCAGGTATATTACTGCAGAGTATACTGATCCATTTCAAATTATCTTGTCAGGTATATTACTACAGAGTTTCATCATCATTCTTTGGTGAAGTTATGCCACACAGGGCTTGCAGTCTTTTCCTCAATTCCTCTCTCTCCTTGCAGCCTTTCAGTATCAGGGATGGAATATAACCAGCACCTTTAGTTTCACTCATCAATGTTCAACTTGGGGTTTCTTTTGGAAGTTCTTGTTTCTTCAAACCATTTGTTTCATATTTAAGTGCCTGTTGGTGATTCTCTGTTCACTTCTCTTCAGGATGTGCTCAATATATTACCAACTTCTTTTGTCTTATAACTTTTGTATAAGCCTTTGTCCAGACATTTCTCGCCCTTTCTTGAAATCATCCCATTTAATGTTCATAAATTTCCTTAGGCATTGGCAAGTAGCTTAGCCCTATATGCCCAATGCACCTGAAGGAGTGGAAAAGGGTCCTATACTTTACTTAAAAGCAACACATGTAAATAAATTATAAGGTAACTGATATTCAGCTCAATGAAGTTCCATCTCCACAATGAAAGTTGGCTGCAATGGATTTCATGCCCTCTATGCCTTGAGCTTGATATGTTATGTTATCACAATCAAAGTTATGGCACACTGGGCATTTCCACACGTGCAAAGTCCTCCGATGCAGAGGCCACTCCAAGGTCCCTCTACTGAATGTTCCCATGAGAAGCTGATTATAGTGTCTCCTCTTCTTCTTTTTCTGCGTTGACCCTCAAAAAGGCGGTTAGCTTGTTGTGTTGTAGTTTACAGCTGGGCTGCAATATTTGCGCCTTTGGGCCCAACACATCCAATTTCAGCAAAACCCTAATTAGTCGGCTCCTACGGCATGCTTATTGGGACAGTGGGTCTATTCTTTCTTTCCTTCAAAATGAGGCCCCAGAACCCATAAGGGAAATAGTGTCTCCTGTCTTGGCCTTGAGCTTTACTCCCAGGTTACGCAATCGTATTTGCATAAGTTTTAATGTTTGCAAATGACAGGTTCGCCATGATGTTAACCACATCACCCACCTCGTGCCAACTGGCCTTTGAAAATATGAGACTAGCATCATATGCCAGATGCATCACTGACATAAAAAGGGTCGTTTACTTATTTAACGTTTGGCTTCATGGCTGCAAATACAGGTAAACATTTAGAAAAAAAATATTGGAATAGGGCAATAAAACTAACCAGAATCTATGATTAATATTACAGATGAACTGAGAGACCAATAAATCTCATTAATTTTTAGATATTTCATCAGAATGTAGTGGTTAGAAAGTCAAAGAGTGGTCATTTCATCAATTTTTGTTTGCCCAGAAAGTCAAATGTTAGATATTACAGCAGAAGTGAGTAACTAGAAAGAGTAAAAAGTAAAGTAAAGATACCTTTTCCCGCCCTTAGGCGCATCAGGCATATGGGAAGAGCACCCATATTTTTACAGACCAATCGGCACTAGGTGGGTAATGTGGTCAGCATTATGCCGGCCGTCTTTACTTTCCCAGGACATACATCCTGGTACCCATTTTAGGCTGGGTCAACCTGTGATGCCTCATGCTATGATAAAAAATCAATGCAGCCATCAGTGGGTTTCGATCGCGGTATGTTGGAATTACGAGAAGTAGCTACAAAGTGTAAAAATATTAGCCATTACACAGAACTGAAGAGCCAGAAAGTCTAACTAATATTAGACATTACTGGAAAATTGAATGGCCAGAACAGAAAGTCTACCTAATCTAGGCAATACATCAGACCTGAGTGACCACAAAGTCAGATGCCAGACACTGCAGCATAACTGAGTGGCCAATGAGTACTGGACATAATGTGGTGAATCAATTAAACATAAAACATACCGAGCAGACAGGCAATCTCTGAGAGCAGTTCGGACATTAATCCTGATCTGATTAGGTCCATCATCTTTCTTCTCCTCACTTCTGGAAGTGCTGGAGGAGGTATCAGACTTCTGGGAAGCTGAGGCATGTCTCTCGCTGTCACTTTTCTTTCCTGAATCCTTACTGCTGCTGCTGCTGTGTCTGGACCGTCCACTGTGGTCAGCTTTTTTATCTCTGCTAGTCGATGTTCTATGTTCTTTGTCCACTGGTTTCGGTTCACTGTGAGGCCTGACTTCTCTATCTCCTGATTTGTCATCTTCTAAGGGAAACATAAATATTTAAATCTTAACTATACCAACAGAGAATAGATAAAAAGTCATAATGAAGACTAAGGAAAACATGGACTGACAACATCAAGAACTGAAATAATGAACTGAAATAACACAGGTTCACATTAGGCAGTACAACACACCTGGTCAGGGATCATCATCAATGCCTACCACTCATCCTGGCTGAACTACAGTTTATCCATCTCTTGATGTTATTTTCCCAAATTTATCACCGTTTTTTTCTTGCTCGCCTGCCTTCTTCTCTCCAGTATGGTTTTTACTACAATGTCATGTCTTTAAATATGGTTGTCTCCCTGTGGTTTCGGGACCCAATTTTGATGGGAAAACAGGAACAGACAGGTTGCCCCAACAACAAACATATCATAACAGGTGACTAATTAGGGGTTGGCTGAGATGTACTGGGCTGAAAAGACAGAAACTAGTCTTGATGTGAACCACAACAAGAGAACTGCCCTTTTAAAAGAAGAAGAAAAAGAGGAAGAGGAAGAAAAGGAGGACAAGGAGTAAGAAGAGGAGAAAACAAGAAAAACAGGAAGAAGAGAGGAATAGGAGAAGAAGGAGGAAGAAGAGAGGAATAGGAGGAAAAAGAGGAGGAGGAGGAGGAAGAGGAGGAGAAAGAATATGGGGGTGGGGAGGGGGGAGAGAGACAAAGAGAAGGAGGAAGAAGAGGAGAAGAAAGAGAATGTGCCTGAAATATTTCTCTTGTCTCTTTGTCACAGTTTATTTCAGCAACTGTCTTTTTATCCCAGTATCTCTATAAACTGTATTTCACTATTTTTGTTTCTAGTATATTCTTCGGTATATCCACACCTTTTAGGCCTCAATTCTACTTTCTAACTGCTGGTTCTCTGTCCAGGTTGAGGTGCCCAATAGTAGGGATGAGTACATAAAACATATGGCCACTCTGAATACAGAAGATACAAATAACAGATTTCACAATTTACTGCCTGGTATAGTAATTATGCAGTACCTCTTCTGAGGCTTGTGATAGAATTTAACATTCCTGAAAACATCTAATAAACAAACAAAGACAAGAAAGAGAAGGAAGGAAGGAGGAGGAGGAGGAGGAGGAGAAGGAAAAAAGAAGGAGGGGGAGGAAGAAGAAGTAGAGTAGAAGGAAATGAACAAAAACAAGAAGAAAGAGAAGGTGAATATTTCTAAATGGATAATAACTCTGTGTGGGTTCCGGGTCCTATTATAGGGAAAACAAGAATAGACCCACTGCCTACCCAAGCGCATGTTGTAAGAGTTAACTAATTGGGAGCTTACTTCGAATTTGGAGTGCATCTGCCTGAGAGGCAAGGAACCAACAGTCTGCACACAAATCAGTCAAATGGATGCACACGCAACACTCAGGTTCTGAAACAGGGTTGCAGTCCAGAAGTGGACGAACAACCAGAACTTTCCGCCAGAGTTTACAGCCAGTGAACTTAAAGAAGAATGAAGAACAAAGGAATGGATAATGCACCATTAGATCCCTCATGACAAACACCTGTGGATTACAAAATGTCCTTACTATCAATGAAGTCAACAATGACACTTTACACTGAAGCAAATTAAAGCAGGAGAACTACACACAGAAGCAGAACAACAAAGCCAATAAAATTTCAAAAGACAACACAACATAGGAGCGGAACAATGAAGAGACAACATAGGAGTGAAACAATGAAGAGACAACACAAGAGTGGAACAATGAAGAGATAATACAGGAGTGGAACAATGAAGAGACACCACAGGAGTGGAACAATGAAGAGACAACACAGGAGTGGAACAATGAAGAAACAACACAGGAGTGGAACAATGAAGAGACACCACAGGAGTGGAACAATGAAGAGACAACACAGGAGTGGAACAATGAAGAGACAACACAGGAGTGGAACAATGAAGAGACAACACAGGAGTGGAACATTAAAGAAACTACACAGGAGGAGAACAACAAACAGATAACACAAGGGGATAAAAATGCCCTGAAACAAACAATAAATCTTGGTGGGCTTACTAGAAGAACCTCTGCTTCTGTGTCTCTTGTGAGGCAGAACAACCTCAAAAGTTGGGTGCTGCTCCAGCCAGCGATGTAAGCCCTTCTGTGTGGGAGCATCGGTTCCCTTCAGTACTTTTCCTGTCTGCCTTTCAATCACCTCTATTGTGTCCAAGGATGAGGCAACAGAAGGTGATGCACTCTTACTGCTCTCGTTTGATGAATTCTTCTCTGTGGTCTGTAACAAAAGAAAGGACTATTACATCTTCTCCTCGACATACGACCTATGTGACTTATGACGCATCCACAGTTATGACCAGACACAAACAAGTAAATTAAAATAGTTTAAAAAAAAAAAAAAAGATTACTAGGGTCAAAAAGCTCTCCAAAATGATGCCTAGAGCGCAGCAGAGTCAAACTATACATACACAGATTTAAATTTTGTGTTTTATGCATAATTTGCTTAGCTGGATGCTCCAGAGTTAAAAAAATATAAATTTGACTTTAGACATTTCACTTACAACCAGTGTTGCCAATTTTCTTTGACAAAAAACATCCAAAATGGAGTCAAAAAATATCTAAAAACATCTAAATTTGTGTTGAAAACATCTAGAAAAAACATCCAAATGGAAAGAGTCACAAATTACATAGCAATTGATATGAGTTACCCTATAGAATCATGTCCTCATCTTTACTGAAGTCTGACTCACAAGATCCACAGGATAAACTTAGCTCGAATGATTAAGTTAAAGCTTCAGATCCAAAATGACTCTGGTATGCTTTAGCTATTCCAATTTCTTTTAATACCTAATCAGGGAGCTGATAAGTGGAACAGCCTTTTCCTACTTCTATCAGACCAAATTTTATTGTCAAGATAGCATTTTAGAGGTCAAATTTCATCCTGTTTCTTAAGTTAGATTTGATAAATTCACTCCAAATGAAAAGCGTCTAGAAAAACATCTACCATCTAAATGTCAAAAACACCATCTAAATGCAAGGAAAAACATCTTATCTGGATGTAAAACATCCTAAGTGGCAACACTGCTTACAACAACCTGTTATTCGGAAAAGAACTCGTTGCAAGTCAAGACGACCCTGTAGCTGAGATGTGTTCAGTTAAAAACTAGCATTTTAACACTCCGGATATTGCTCATTTTTTTCCACATCAGCTAGTTCTAGTGCTTTCCTCTTATTTTTCCACATCATCTTGTTCTAAAAAATTGTTCATTATTATTAAGATTTATACCATTAACAATTTTTTTTTTAAAGTGAAAGTTTTACACAACTAAAAGAGCATAACTAAAAGAGATGAAGCCTTATTACCGGTTTTCGAAAACAGTGTCTTATGACTCAAAGATGCAAATAGTGGTGAATGGAGAGTGAGAAGCAACAATGAAATTCATAATCTATTGAAATCACCCCTTATCACTGGCATCATGAGAGCTAATGGACTTAAATAGTTGGGGCATATTGAAAGATGACAGAGAAGTAAAAACTCTATACACCAGGGAGCTTAATTGTCGTACACCACGAGGCAGACCAAGAAGACGATGGAGACATAATATCCAGACAGACCTGCAAACACTTGGTGTCATCAACTGAAAAGAGAGGGCCAACCCAGGGATGGAGGCGGGTGATATATGCAGCAATGAACCTCAAGGGCTCAGAATGCTGAAGAGAAGGTTTTTAATGCCTTTGGAAAGTAATTTTTTTCCTCATGTGATGATAAAAGTTTTTTTTTAGAAAAAAAATAAAATAATGTACAATTTTATCTCATAATTTGTGTTCATGGTAATAAATATTTCATCTTATCTGAAATTTTGTTCAAGATATTTTTGGTGACAATTTTTTTAATGCAGTAGCATGCAGTAAGTGGAAACAGTAATATTTATCTTTACCCACTTCTCTAAACCTGTCTTTTGTCTATTAAGTCTTCTTCTTCCTGTACTCTTCATCCCCAATGAAGAATTAGCCCTAAACCATCTCATGTCATCATTCTGTTTTTTTTTTTAAATATTGTGTGCAGCTTACAGTCGGCATCTGCAGCTTAGGCGCTGCGAATCTGCTTCATAATGCTGGGGTGGTGGGTTCAATCCCAGCTGCGGACAATATGTCTTGCGTTGGTTTCAACAGTGCTGCCACGAGATGACAGTTCAGAAAGCACCGGTAAACTACTGAATGTATAATTTGCCAAGAAAACCATAACAGCTAGAAAATGCTGTGATTGGTTCTCTATAGTACTGTAAAGAATGAAGCTCACTCCCAAGTTCTCTCCATCTTGTTAACTTCATTCTATAATTGTATTTGCTTGGTGTTTTTTTATTTCTTGTGGTGTTAGCATGTAGCTTGGTTTCTTTTTTTTTTTTTTGCCTTTACTCCTTTGACCTTGTGGGTTTTAGTGAAAACATACATTAGTTATTGTTCTTACAAGGTCCGACAATTAAGTAATGAGACTAATTCTCTAAAAATTAAAATAATCAACAGCTGAAGATATAACCTGTATTTTATTCAAAGTAAGCCCCTTGTGTATTGATACAGTAAGTATCATGATCTAACAAACAATGGAACAGCCTCTGTAGTTCTTCTGTTGTTATGACCCTTTAAGTCAATGTTACGGCCCCTTTGAATGTCTTCAAAATCGTTTTAAAAAAGCATCCTTTCAAGCAAAACTTTAATTTTTGGAATAGAAAATAATCACAGGAAGACAAATCTGGGAAATAGGGTGGAAGGCTGAGAACACACACTTGTTTTTGGGCCAAAAATTCTTGTTTTGATGATGTCTCTTGGGTACCTTACCCGCTGATGTTTTTGGTCACCAAACAACAAATGTGGTACAAACCGGCAAGCAACTTTTTTCTTGACAAAATCTTGCACTAAAATGTTATGAATGGTCTCTCTATTACCACCAGATTCATCTGCCATCGTCTTAACAGTAAAACAACGGTCTTTTTGTATCCGTCCTCTGACTTTTGCAATGAGTTCATCATTACGAACAGAAATTTGGCGTCCAGGTCTAGGTGGATTAGTAATCATTTCTACACCACTTTTGAATAGTGAATACCACCTGAAAATTTATGCACAAGATAATTATCCCCATAAACTTGTTGAATCAATTTAACTGTTTCAATGGCACTTTTTCTGAGTTTTAAAAAGAAGTTAATGTTAGCTTTTTGCTTTGTGCTGATTCCGTAACAATGCATCTCTGACTAGGTCAACAAAATTTCGGCTTGTTTGTTGTCTGCTTATCGAGCAGTGATGAAAAATTTCCAGTTCATAGAAGAATGTTATCTCTTTAGATTCCATGCATTGCTTTATATATTGCATTTTTATCTTGGCCATAATAAAATCAGTCTCATTACTTAATTGTACGACTTGTAGGTTTTTCAACATGTGACCTATCCAATGCCAGGATCTTTTCCTCACCTCTATTAAATGGAAAAAATATTTCATCCCTTTACAGAGGATTCAAATTCGGGTCTCTTAAATGAAAGCCGAGCAGTCTAACTATATGTCTAGCCACTGTAAACAGGTACCGATTTCACATATAAATGTAATCTCTGGCATCAATCAGATTCATAAAAGTACAAAATAAAAGAATCAGTGCAACAGATAGGACAGAAACAAAAGGCTAAAATGAACCGCCAAAAAACCCACCTTTTTACGCAGTTGCTCTTCCCGTAAAGCCTTCAGTGACTCCTGGGCATGACTCATGATACATTCGTTGCTACAGTACACAGAGCCAGGTCTTGGAGACTTGCTGCATTTTTGTCCGATACATCTCTGCAGCAGTTTTGTTTTGTTTGAAGTCTGTAGACACAACAGCAAGTTTTTCATTGTGTCTGTTTCCATATAAACTGTGAAAGAGACTTCAGTCCAGAAGACTTGATCATGTCTATTTATTTTTTTCCTTTTAGAGCTCACCAACTGTAAACTTCAGCTGAAAGTTCTGGCTGTTTTGTCAATTTCTGGATGTTGAACTTGCTCCAGAAATTCAGTTTTGCCTGCTTGTCCATTTTAAAGATCTGGCTTATTAGTATGCAGACTGCTGGTTTCTTGCCTCTTAGGCAGATGCACTCCCACTTTAAAAAAATAACTTATAGTCCACTTTTAGGACCTGCTAGATTTTTGGGGAGGGAGGGAGGAGGCAGTAACACTATTTTTTTTTTACTCCCACAATGGGACCCCATAACGCACATGGTGAGATCATATCTATTAGAAATATCTTCTAATACTATCTTGAACTCTAAGAGTGCAAGAACTGGGAGAAAAAGAAAAGATCGGCACAGCCAGGCAGGTGAAGCACAACGGATGCACGAGAAGTCTTGTCAACCAACACAGAACTGGGACTATTAACCGCGGGACACTGATGAATATGCTGAAGGGGATATTTGAGCACCTATGGATGTGTCCGGAGTGCTGTGAAGATAACCCAAATCATAACTCATATCTTGACTAAGGAAGACAGGCTGGCGCAGTTCCATATCAAAAGATGTGGGTGTACCTGGGTAAAGATTCGACATGACAGCATCCAGGACAAGCCCATATTAAGCTGTCTCCATCCTCAAAAGCCAGCGAAGAGTCTCTATAACGATCGTACCCACTGTCAAATGGTTTACTACTCGTTTTGCCTTTTCCTCTGAGTCTCGAGTGGCATCCAGAGTCTGCAGACACTCTCCACTGCATCGTTTTCTCCAGATATGGGTTTAATATCAGAACAGGACCAATAAACCTAATAGTCATGAACTTTTTAAGTCCCATCAGGTTTAGCATCAAAGGGCAGTAAAGAGAGACATATAACGGTGCATATTGCATTAATTGGGCTTCTAGGTAGGAACCTATGATGTGTTCCTTGGAACTCAAAGAGTTAACACAGACTTAAACTGGTGTTGAATGAACATTGGTCCACAGAGAAAAACAAAACCACCATCACTACAATGAAGATTTCTTGCAGCGGGTATATGCATCCACTCTTTTCTCTGGGAATATTATGCTGAGATCCCTATCTCTTCCATAGTGTAACTCCCATAACTGCTGTCCAAAAGCCTTTTTTTTTTCTAAGCCGCAGTCACAGAAATCAAAGCCAGATGTAAGGACTGCGAAGTGCATTCATTAACCCTTAAGCCACACTAAATAGTCAAACATCCACATATTTGAAAGCCTTACAGAGTTCTTAGCTACACGAAAAGACCATAATTCTTGTGCAGACCTTACTACAATAACAAAAAAGAAGTAGCAGAAGGATGTGTGAGGAAAGACAAAAAAGAAAGAATTCAAACATGAAGAAAGAATTTTAAAAGACAAAATATAGAAAGATATGTATAAAGATTATTTTTGTTTTACAGAAAGAAAGGGCAGATAAAGAAGAGGGTGGAGAGATAATATGCAAGCAAACATCTGGAGTGCCCAAGTGGAAAGAGAAGGTGAATCACTGTGACGAATGGAAATGGCTGATTTCTGCAGCAATGAACCTCAAGGGCTTGGAATGCTGAAGGACAAGAAGACCAAAACAAATCTATAAGAACACACCAACAAGACAATTACCATATCAGACGGCTTTGACTGGAATGGTTGCTGTTCCTCTGGCTGACCACCTTGATTTTCTGAAAGTGATTTAGAAAGTAAAACAATTTTTTGTGTTTGCGATATATGAGATCATTCTGAAAGTGAATCAGAGAGCAAAACAATGTTTTATGTTTGTGATATATGAGATCATTCTGAAAGTAAATCAGAGAGCAAAACAATGTTTTATGTTTGCGACATATGAGATCATTCTGAAAGTGAATCAGACAGCAAAACAATGTTTTATGTTTGCGATATATGAGATCATTCTGAAAGTAAATCAGAGAGCAAAACAATGTTTTATGTTTGTGATATATGAGATCATTCTGAAAGTAAATCAGAGAGCAAAACAATGCTTTATGTTTGTGATATATGAGATCATTCTGAAATTGAATCAGAGAGCAAAACAATGTTTTATGTTTGTGATATATGAGATCATTCTGAAATTGAATCAGAGAGCAAAACAATGTTTTATGTTTGTGATATATGAGATCATTATGAAATTGAATCAGAGAGCAAAACAATGTTTTATGTTTGTTATATATGAGATCATTCTGAAAGTAAATCAGAGAGCAAAACAATGCTTTATGTTTGTGATATATGAGATCATTCTGAAAGTAAATCAGAGAGCAAAACAATGTTTTATGTTTGCGATATATGAGATCATTCTGAAAGTAAATCAGAGAGCAAAACAATGTTTTATGTTTGTGATATATGAGATCATTCTGAAAGTGAATCAGACAGCAAAACAATGCTTTATGTTTGTGATATATGAGATCATTCTGAAAGTGAATCAGAGAGCAAAACAATGTTTTATGTTTGTGATATATGAGATCATTCTGAAAGTAAATCAGAGAGCAAAACAATGTTTTATGTTTGCTATATATGAGATCATTCTGAAAGTGAATCAGACAGCAAAACAATGTTTTATGTTTGCGATATATGAGATCATTCTGAAAGTAAATCAGAGAGCAAAACAATGTTTTATGTTTGTGATATATGAGATCATTCTGAAAGTAAATCAGAGAGCAAAACAATGTTTTATGTTTGTGATATATGAGATCATTCTGAAATTGAATCAGAGAGCAAAACAATGTTTTATGGTTGTGATATATGAGATCATTCTGAAATTGAATCAGAGAGCAAAACAATGTTTTATGTTTGTGATATATGAGATCATTCTGAAAGTAAAGCAGAGAGCAAAACAATGTTTTATGTTTATGATATATGAGATCATTCTGAAAGGGAATCAGAGAGCAAAACTTGTGATATATGAAATCATTCTGAAAGTGAATCAAAGTAACTGCAATAAATGCATGATGAGTTGCTTGATACCAAAACAGTTGAGGAATTTGGCCAATTCAATGAGCCACCACCAGCAGGCATGTAGCTGGCCACTATGCTACAGGTGCTGCCACAAATTTCAAGGACCTGAAGAACAGAGAATGGTAGAGTCCCTAAAGATATCCTCTATGGTGAATTACAGATGGGCAGATGCACCATTTTACCAGAACCTTGTTTAATGTATCATTTTTTTTTTTCAGTGCCACTGTAACAGACGCTTTGTAGCACGTACCAGCACCTTTTTTTTTTTTAAAGACATCTGGCAATGAGTTTCTAGACAAAAGCCCTGGTTGAAGATGCTGAGGTCGTCCTGTACTATGAAATAAAGATGAGTGCAAATGAGATTGGAATTATTTACATATCAATTATACAGATACTGAGGTGAATTTAAAGGAACAAAATATCATGTTGCATGGTCCTAGAAAAAAGCCCTGAGTTAAAGATGTTGAGGTCAGCTTGTACTATGAAATAAAGACGTGTGCAAGGTAATAGGAAATATACAGGTTCTAAGGTGAATTCAATGCAACAGAATGCCATGTTGCATACAGAAGAAAAAAAAAAAACAGGAATAGGAATAAAATAAATAATGACTGCAGACAGGTTAAGAGCTAAGCATCTTAGAAGAAGCACACCGAATGCATGCTATGCAACAATAATCCTTAAATCCCATGCTTTAATTGTGGAAGACTTTTCTTAACACAAGCAGGTCTTGCGAATCACACTCGCCATTAGCTGTGATTCTCATGTCTCCCTATCGTACACAACATTATCATCACATGGACAGATAGAAAAAGCCAAAAATGTTTTTTTTTAAACTGCTAAATATTCACTCACTGGCACAGAGTGGGCAGATGTACTCCTCCTCCTTCTCCTCCATCTCCTTTCCTCTGGCTTTTGTGACACCAACACAAGTTCCGTGAAACCAGTCCTCACATTTGTCACAGCAGATCATAAATCTGAGATCAGAAAGTCTAGAATATTTTTGTAATTTGTTTAATCCTGTCAGTTTGACAACACAGACAGTCTGACAATACAGACAGTCTGACAACACAGACAGTCTGACAACACTGACAGTCTGGCAACACAGACAGCATGACATAAATCTATGCAAGTGTCAGCATCATCAAATTCAGTGATATCATACATTTTCAATTATCACCACAGATAATAAATCTGAGAATAGAATGTGCAGATTCTTTCTGTGTACATTAGCTACAACATACCAATCATAATATTTAGAATTATCACTATAGATTATAAATCTGAGAACAGAATGTTTAAGGTCCCTGTTTGCCCCCACCCTCTAAAAATCTGCAACCACAAATTTGTAGAAATACCAGCAGAAAACCACACTTAACAACTTGCGTGTTTGAGTGTCTGTGTGCCTAATGTGCATATGTGCGAACAATCTACAATCACATTTTCAAGAAATATTAGCAGAAAACCGCTCTTAACATTTTGTGTGTGCGAGTGTCTGTGTGCCTAATGTGCACATGCGCCAACAATCTACCATCCCAAATTTAAAGAAATACCAGCAAAAAACCACTTCTTACAACTTGTGTGTGTGAGTTTCTGTGTGCCGAATGTGCGTATGTGTGAACAGTCTACAATCACAAATTTGAAGACATACCAGCAGCAAACCACTCTAACTCTATGAGTCCCAGGGAATGCATCACGAGCTAATTTGTTACAACCGGGTGGCCCAATCGACGCGCGACAAGTAAAAGTTTTTAATCTACCACTGACCGGTAATAAAACTACTCAATTTCAACTTCCTTTTGAGTTCTTTGTGTCCGATATCAGGCATGCTCATTTAGAAACGTGGGTTGAAAGCCGAAAATATTTGTGAGGTTTGCTGAGTTACTATGTGTTAGTTTGAAAAGAATATGGCCGCCAAGCAGTATTCTACATGCATGCCAACATGATTTACGGCTTTAGAAGCCTCATATTTAAATAAAGTACGTGTTTATAAAATTTATCCGGTTAGATAGATAACAGTGCAAATTAGACGTGTTTCAGTCATTTATAGAGTCAAGCTCTGATGGAGGATATGTCTAATGTGTACCTCAGGCGAAGGATACAACAAAGTAAGCTGGCACAAATAGAATAAACATTAGTGAAAGGATGATTTTCTTCAGTGTCAGTTAGTTCTAGTGCTATTCCCTTATTATTTAGGAAGGAACATAGGTACAAAATTACAGGCAAATTGTGTGGTTTATAAACTTTGTTTTGTGTGAAGATACTCATTGTTTTGGGAGTCAGTTTTCTTTACCAAATAATGGTGCTCTGTTATGATGCTTCAAAAGATTCTCTGGAACAAAATCTAATGTATAGATTGAGTTTACATTTTACTTATACATTACTAAGTGGTTCATATTCATTTGTGATTCATTTTGGATATATTTTAACCAGTTCTTATTGAGTGTCATGGTGGTAAGTGTAAAAATGTTTTATTTTATTTTACAAATTTTTGAAAACATACCATCTGTTTATTTACTAATATTTAATTACTAACGCAATTATTTGTTGTAGCTGTATTCTATAATTATTCCTCAACAATCCCTAGTCACTTTGATGTATAATATGTGTATGTTGTGCGGCAATTGAATTAGTATGGTCTGTTTTAATGTGTTACACTTGTGAAATTCAAAAAATGCATTACCGCCCCTTGGGCCTCTGATGCTAAACCCCTTGGGACTCAACTTGTGTGTGTCAGTCGGTGTGTGTGTGTGTTTTTTTTAAAATCTATGATCACACATTTGAAGGAAAACCAATCTTAACGCGCGTGCGTGCGTGCGTGTGTGTATGTGTGTGTGTGTGTATGTCTGTGGATATGTGCACCCCCTGCTGTCTTGACTGACATTACATGGTGAGGATCCAAACTTTTCCACAAGGCTGTTACACCACATTTCAAACCATGAAAACCGTGAATATATAGTGAACAGTAAAACATTTTACTAAAATCTAAGCCTTAAAATTGTTTACAAAAACCATAAATATGAAATCTTGGTGTGAGTTTTGGGGCCCCATCTCGGGGGGAGGGGGGGGGGGATATAGATTCATAGCCCCTTAACAAGCATGTAAATGGCAAGTGGCTGGTTGCCGCAGCATTAGCAGTGTGTGTGTGTGTGTCTTATGCAGTTATGTTGTGTGCACCCGCTGGTTTGTCATGACTGCTGTTTCCATCAAGTATGAATAGCAATCCTAGTAACAGACTGTTAAGTGCTGGCATCTGTGGTCACTGCCTAATGCATTTGATGCATGTGCAAGCTGTTGAATTTTTGCCGGGACTGCTGTCTCTTTGACTATACACATGAGACTGTGATGAGCAATTCCTTTGATGTGAACCTTGACTGACCGCCTAATAGCCTGAAGCATGTTGTCAAATGCAAAAAAAAGGGTCTGTTGAAATTGGATGTGTTGGGCCGAAGGTGAAGATATTGCACTTTCTTTAAAAACAACTGCCTTTTTAATGGTGGTGGTTGTTGTTGTTATCGATCCAGCGGCGTATGGGCTTTCTCCTTTTGGCCCCAATCCCATGTAGTGGAATTTGCATGTTTTCACAAGCTGTTCTTTTCCTCCATACAAGGTGTTCCACTTGTCTGGTCTCGGAGGGAGTAGCATTCTTCCATTCTTCTAGTCTCGCTGAGTCCTTTTTAATGGTAAATGATGATGATGATGATAATGAAGAAGAAGAAGAAGAAAAAGAAGAAATAAGAATGAAGAAGGAGAAAGAAGGAAGAGGAAGAAAAACAAGGATGAAGGAAGAAGGGAGAAGTAAGAAGGAGAAGAAGAAGGAAGAATGAGAAGAAGAAGGAGGAAGTGGGGAGGGGGAGGAGGGGGAGGAGGGGAGGGGGAGGAGGAGAAGGGGGGAGGAGGAGAAGAAGGAAGAAAAAGAAGAAGGAAGAGGACAGAAGAAGAGGAGGAAGAAGAAGAGAGAAGAAGAAGAAAGAAGGATGAAGAAGGAGAAGAAGGAAGAAGAGAAAGAAGAAGAAGAGGATGAGGAGGAGGAGGAGGAAGTGGAAGAGGAGGAGGAAGAAGAAGAAGCAGAAGAAGCCAAAACAGAAGGAGGAGGAGGAGGAGAAGAAGAAGAAAAAGAAGAAGAAGAAGAAAAGAAGAAGAAGAAAGAATGAGGAGGTGGAGGAGGAGAAAAAGAAGGATGATGAGGAGGAGAAAAAGAAGGATGAGGAGGAGAAAAAGAAGAAGATAGTGGAAAAGGAGGAAAAGTATAAGAAGAAGAAACAGATAAATATAATACTGACCTGTTATTATGGGGCATCCGACAAACACAGTACAAGGTGTTTGGATCATTAGGTTCCCAGTCCACATCATTCTGGTCATCTTCAAAGTGGTGTTCTTCGCTGTCAGCATCACCATCTTCATTGCCTTCCCTGGCCTTCTTCTTGTCTTCTGGTGAATAAATCCACAGTGTTTAGTTGATGTAAGTATAAGTAAGTATGGTTAGAGCTGAGGATGACATCACTAAGGTCTGCAGGTTTACAGGAGAGGAATGGATACCAGCATCTAAGGCGCTCAACTGCACATTCTCCTGTGTCGTGATGCTCGATAGAAGTTGTCCGGAGCAGAATCCTGTTGCTGTCAATGCCAAGGTACGCGCACTTATTAGTGACAAATCAGATGAAACAGATGTGCTGATCTTCACAGACGGTCCGTTATACGAGGACATAAGAGTGCATGGGCATTTACATCTCGCTCTTTAGGCAGAACAGTTCAAGAAGCCAGCAACCAACAACAACAAAATACAGTGCCCACATAATTATTTATATATTTATTTATATTTCTTCCTCTTCTTCTTTTTAGCGTTCTGGTCGTTCGTGCTCTCTCAATGTGTGTTGATACCCCTCCATGTCATGGCAAAAGGCCGTCAACAATCATCTTGCAATGCCTTCCTCTGTGTTTTTTCCCTAGATTTGTCAAGTGGTCACAGCATGTATAGTGTCAGGTTTCTCTTAAAATGACCCAAATACCTGTTGCCTCTTTCTGATATTTGTGATAAGTTGTCTTCCAGTCCTCACCTCTTTCAATCATGCCTTTAAACACCTATACATCATCCTTTAAAAAAAAACAAATCCTTGACTCAACTCTTTAAGGCCCGAGCAATGCTGTCAGAGTTGACTGAGAAGTTCGGTTTTGCCCAAACACTGTCACAGTCAATTGTGTACATACTGCTTCGCAAATGACTCCAAATTTGTTTATGATGTTCAGAACTACCATTAAAGTATTCAGGGAAGGTTACTCTAACGAGTTTCTCTAAAAAACATTTTGTATCCCAAGACACATGTGCATTGGATCAGATTCATAGCTACATTATTTTCAACAGTGTATTTTTCTAAAGTTCCTTTTCGAGTGCCAAAAAATATGAGTGTTCCAAGCGCAAGTATAGGTCGCAGAATGCGTTTTTCTGCGGCAGAAGCTCTGAAATTGTTTCAGTAAGATGTTTTAAATTTTGATAATGATAATGAAAATTTTAATTTTTCTGAAAGTGATTCAGACAGTGAATTTTCACCAGCGGCAGCTAAGCGATCAGCTGTTTGGGAATCTAGCGATTCTGATGAGTTTACACAGAGAATGTTCCATTGCTACCGCATTTAGGGTGTGAGAGAAGAAAAGTGCTCCAAACAAATAGACAGTACTATACCTTGGCTAAGCTACATTGGCATCATTGCAGCTAAAGTCTGTATTTAACTGTACAAAGTAAACAGTAAATAGCGTGTGTTTAATGGCCCATTTTTTTCTCTGAAATGTTGCTCGTCATTCTGTGAGAACTAAGAGCTCCTGAGTGCTAAACCCAGAAACTCATCATAACTTTGGAATCTGTTAGGAAATTGAACAAACTTTGAAGTGTTGTTCTCAAATTTGGATTATTCACTGCTTCTGTGGCGACAAAACCATGGTAAAATTATCTTGTGAAAAAAAATATATACTTTTGTAGGGATTAGAAGTATATTATTAAATTCTCTATTGCCTTTTTTGTACATCCCCCCCCCCCCCCCCCCCCCCCCCACCCCGACATTTTCGTAAAGGGAAACTAATGTGGGCCAAGTCTGTCAAAACTCATGGGCCTGAAAGAGTTAACCAACTTCTGGTCTGAAGCCAATGAAAAGTAAAATATCTTTCAATAAAGAAAAACTACAACATACCCGATCCACTTGATTTGCTTCTCTTCTTTCGCTTTACTCCTTCCTGACTCTCATTTCTTGCATAGGTACTGTCTTTCTTTTCAGCGCTGTCTTTTTTATCAGTGCTGTCTTTCCTCTTCTCTGTACTTGATTTTCTGTGATCTGAGCTCAGTTTCCTACCCTCACCACTCTTTTTACTGTCATTTTGTTTGTCTGTCAAGCTGTCAGCTTGTTTTACATTTTCAGTTGTCTGTGTGGTGGAGATGCTTTCCTCCCTGGCCATGGCTGGAACTCTACCCACTTCTACCTGACCGACAATACGGAATTCTGAACCCCCTGCTTTCAGCTCAGTATTTAAACTTTCAAGAATCGATGGCCTGTCTCCGATGTCCTTTGTAGTAATAGCAGGTGAAAGGTCCCCCTTAGCAACAGATGTGGAGGCCACATGAGGATCAATGATGCTGGCTTCTACACCCAGTTCTTCAGACTCCTCCAGAATCTGGTCTGGGAGGTTCATGTCCATAATGACCGTCTGTTTGTGAGAGACACTTTCAATGTCATCATCTCTGCCCAGGCTGGTGGTGGCACCAGGGCTACTCTGGCTATCCTGCTTCAAAATCACAGGAGAAGACTTTGAATACTGGTGCTCAATGAGGACATGGTGGAGGTTCTCTGGCTTCACAAAAGAGGTGGAGTCGTAAACATCCATTGAATACTGAGACTTCCTAGCACCTGGTGTCAGTGTGCCACCCTGGGTCCCGATATCTTTTTTCTGATGGTCATGGATGACGAGACCATCAGGTTTGAAGAGATCCATCATTGTTGGGTCAAGAGGGACCTCATGCTCCACTTTGTGATGCTTATGCTTGGATTTACCCACAGCTGTAACTGGGATCAACACTGGAGGACTGGCATCATCTTTGCTTTCCTCAGATTTTTTGGTATTCTCAATTGACTTCCTGTGTTCTCCTTTCTTAGACTGACCCTTTTCAGGTTTGGACCCATCGCTAGATTTCTTTCTCTCAGCTCCAGCAGGTTTCTTTGTTTCTGCTTTCTCTTCTACTTTAGGAACTACTGGTTTCTTTCTGGCCTGATCTTGTTTTTCCGAGACATCACTAACTGACTCTATCTTGACATCTTTCGGAACAATTTTAGTTGCCTTTCTGTTTCCAAATGGTTGGTGACTCTTCTTTTTGTGGAAGATTCCTCGTCTTAACAAATCATCAACTTTTTGGCTATTAGCTTCAAGTCTGCTACCACCTTCTGAACCACTCTTTGTAATCCCACTATCTCCTCCTTTAGAATTTTTTTTGCCACCGACTAACTTTTCAATGCGTTTCTTTTTCAAAATATTCCCTCCTACAGATTTTGATTTTCCATCCTGAGTCCCAAATTTCTTTGTCCCTATCAATTTCTCCTCACTGTCCCCTTTCAGAACTTTAACCTTTTTTTGCTTGCCTTCTGATTCAGTTAAATGTTCTACCTGAGAAAGGATCTTTTTCTTAATTACTGTTCCATCAGGCTTTTTAATAACCTGTACTTTTGTTGCATTTTTGCCATTTCGCTCCTTTTTTGTTTCAAATTTAACAATTTTCCCACTACTTTTTATTGTCTCTATAGCTTTGACACCTGAATCTTCCTTAGAAGAAGCCTTTTCAGTTGTCGCTTCTGATGTTGTATCATTCCCTAAGGCAAATGTGTTATCCAAGAAAGCCTCTTCTGTCTTGACTTCTGCTTTGGAACTAGAAGCCAGAGCTGATATTTTACTGTCAAGCATTTTCTTGTCCAGTGTGCTGCTGGACTTGGTGGCCACGGCTCCTGGTGTGGGTTTTGCCATCCCGTGATCAGATGGTGGGATTCGTCTGATCAAACCTGCTGCTGCTAATGCTTGTTTATTCTTCTTTGTATTCCTGGCTGCCTGAAAATTTACAAACCACATACAGTTACAGTGGGTAGTTAGAAATTTACAGAAGCGGTAATATAGAAATTTATAAAAGTGATAATTTAGAAAGTTAAAGAAGTGGTAAGTGTGAATGTTTTACAGGTGGTAAGTTAGCAAGTTATAGGAGTGGTAAGTTAAAACATTACAGAAGTGGTAACTTAAAAAGCTATAGAAGTGATAAGTTAGAAAGTTACAGAAGCAGCAATTCAAAAAGTTAAGATAATTCCTAAAACAATGCACATAAAGATAATACAATAGCAGACACTGCCATACTTGCGACATGTCCTAACCTACACTAAGTCAAGGCACTAGAGAGTGATTAGTGATTAGAAAGGATTATAATCACAGCACTCCGGACAGATCCATAGGTGCTCCGATCTTCTCCTCAAAAGCTCCACAAGCGTAAAATGACTGATGACGCCTGTTCTGTGTTGGTTAATGAAATGTCTTGTCCTCTTAGTGAAATGTTCATTTCCTGCAGCTCCAGGCTGCACCCCCATGTCCATCAGTCTAGACAGGGATACGGAGTCAGGTCCTTTGGCGTGCTCCTCAGTATGGTAAGTGCAGCACATGGCATTGATAACATCACTTCTGTCCAGTACTGGGCTAGCCGTAGCAACTGCAGTGTCAGCAAGATAGTCTGCACGCTTGTTCCCTTGAACACCCACATGACCTGGCACAAAGATAAAGGTTAGGGCAAATATTTGTGAAGTGCTTAGTGCTTCAATCCATTCTTGTCTGATTAATCCAGCTTGGATTTTTTTTAAGCATATTCATCGAGTCACTAAGAAAATACGTGAGTGAACTTTTAAGTACCAAGCCATGCTAAAGCCCTTGTTACAGCCATATTTGCCATTGTAAGGCTACTAGTTGTAACAGCAAAAAAACCATTCATGTCCTTGATGGTTTTCCCCCTTGAGCTTACTGTGAATGCCCATGCACCTCACTTGCCCCCTAATTACTGACCCATCTGTGTAAACTACAGCATCACCTTTATCTGTGTTTTCATCAATCAGTGTTCCGACTAAAGTGTCAACAATGCCAGGAATCTGCTCTCTGCAGCTTCCATCAAGTGTAATATTCATGTTTGGAGAGGGAGGCATAATTATCCATTCATTTCCAAAATTAATGTCAGTAAGGCGGCAAACATGTTCGATGGCATCCTCAGCATGACCCATCCAGGATTTGCCTCATTTGAGTCTACTCTTTTTTTGTGCTTGAATAATTCCTCATAAAGTGGGTGTCGATGGTCTGATTTCACTTTGAGAAAAGTAACAGCCCTGGATAGCTTGATTCTGTTTTCCATTGTGGGGAAATCCAAGAGGTGTGGATTTACAGGAGGTGACTCTAGTGCATCCAAGAATAATGCGCATTGCCCCGTTTTCAATTTTTTACAGTCTGTTCATCTGTGTGGTGCTGAGTGTCATGATGACCAAGGCATATTCAATGGTGGAGAGAACTAACGCGCGATACAACATTACAAGTAGCCGCAGCTCAAAGTTTGCAGCTCCCATAACTTTTGTTGCAGAGAGACCTTTCTCGGCTTTGGTTATAATGTGGTCTACATGTTTTTTAAATGCTAAGCATCTGTCAAATGTTACACCCAGGTATTTCATGGAATCACTAGGGAGTCAAATAAGTTAAGTGATCACTAGTAACAGTGTCTTCACTATAAAAGAAAGCTATGAAGAAAGCTGTTACAGAGAAAGTTACTAAGAAAGCTGTCACAGTGAGCTACAAAGAAAGCTGTAACAGTTACAAAGAAAGTTACCATAGAAACAGTTACAAACACAGCTGTCAAAGAGAAAGTAAGTTATAAAGAAAGCTGTCATGAAGAAAGTTACAAAGAAAGTTGTCAGAAAGAGTTACTAAGAAAGTTGCTGATGCCACAAAAACAGTTATAAATAAAGTCTTAAAAAAAGGTTACAATGAAAGGTGTCACAAAGAGAGATACAAAGAAAGATGTCACAGAGATAGTTACAAAATTGTCACAGAGAGTTACAAAGAAAGTTGCCACAGAAAGAGTTACAAAGAAAGCTGTCATACAGAGATTTATAAAGAGAATTTTCACACACAGAAAGAAAAGAATTACAAAAGAATTTGTCAGAAAGAGTTACAAAGAAAGCTGTCACAGAGAAAGAGTCATTAGTAACAAAAGGAAAAGGTCTTTGATAACATACCTTGACGGGAACATCATTTTCTCCACTAGTGGCACCAAGTTTTCTCTTTGGGGCCAGCACAGGAGACAAATCTGAGACACTCCCAGAATCCGAACTGACTTCAGCAGACTTCATCATTAGATTTTGAGCTAGAGAAGATGAGGCAGCCATTTGCTTTTTCAATTTTGGCATCTTCCTCTGGCTGCTGGTCTTGTATGGTGGTGCTTGTCCAGCTTCATCTTCTGAATGTTCATCTTCCTGCCAACTTTCTATTCCAGTTTTTGCTTTTTTCCCTGTAACTTTTGATGCTTCTCCCTTTTTCTTTCTTTTCTGCCCTTTATTCTGTTTACTTTCTTCTTCTCCTGTTTCACTCCCTACATCTTTGGCACTCAATTCCACTTGTGTATTAAGCTTTTTCTTACGACCGACCTTCTTTCCCCTCACACCAGGTTTTTTGGCAGCTTCTTTGAGTTTTCCCTCTTCTATCTGAAGACTGCTATCCTCTTCAGTGTTATCCAGTTCTTCTTTTTCATACCCCTTCTTCTTCTGCATTTTCACAGCTACTTTTCGTGTCATTTGTCTCTTCTTTTCGCCTTGATTAAGTTCTTCCTCATTCCCTATTGGTTCTTCAACATCTGCCTGCCTTCCCTTCTTCCGCCCTTGTCCGATTGGCCTACCTCTTGGAGCTGCATCCGTGTCAACACTGAAACAAAAATATCAATTCACTTTTACGTAAACGTGCCCATTCATGAGTTTATTGCCAACAAAAATAACCCCCAAAAAAAGAGGTAAACGCAGAGAAAACTTCTAAAAAGTTTCCAGTAAAGTTTTTTAGTAATTCATTAAGAAGATTTCACTTATTGAATGCAAATGACATTAACTCTTCATTAATGCCTTTACCATCATCATCAATATGTAAGAAGTAATTGAAAGAACATCACTTTGCAAGAAGTAATTGAAAGAACATCACTTTGCAAGAAGTAATTGAAAGAACATCACTTTGCAATAAGTAATTGAAAGAACATCACTTTGCAAGAAGTAATTGAAAGAACATCACTTTGCAAGAAGTAATTGAAAGAACATCACTTTGCAAGAAGTAATTGAAAGAACATCACTTTGCAAGAAGTAATTGAAAGAACATCACTTTGCAAGAAGTAATTGAAAGAACATCACTTTGCAAGAAGTAATTGAAAGAACATCACTTTGCAAAGACCTAATTGTTCACCAGTTCACCTGCCCTATGTGTTTTCATGCCAGGGCCAGGGTGCTTTGAATGTTCTGTATGACATTCATGTTGGTTAACCCTTGCCTCCTTCAGAATTTGCGCCTACCAATCCTGTTCTTTCAAAACCACTGTGATAGCCAATATTTCAGACTGTGGGACTTTATCTTCTTCTTCTTATGAATGCTTCGTTGATTTATACAGACAGAGTAGTTATTCTGATACAACAGACCGTTTTTTTGGAGTTCTTCTTCAGTTCCATTCAGCTTTAAGTATGATGATGACTGCACTTCTTAATGGGCTGTGAAAGGAATAGTCTTGCAGGACATCATCAGTAGGTACTCATCCATAACAATAAGACTAATACTGTAACTTTTGATCCACCTTCTGGATCAGTATTTCCGACTTCAGGATCTCTTCAGAGGCAGAATGGGCTTATCCCTTCATTTATCCTCTATGCTATCCAGTTTCCCATTGGGGGAAAAGGGGGGGGGGGGAGTCCCCAACTGTCTGAATTACTGGGGAGAACAGTCCACCACATGAAGGTTAGGTAAGCTTGAGCAAAAGAGGCTATGAGACATTACCAGTCCTGTACTGTGCATCATTTCTCCAGTAGGACCGTAGATTGTGAGTCAAGATACTTTCTAATGCTCTAACAGACACCGTCGCTGTATATTGCATGCACAAATATTTTAGGTTGTCGCAAGGTTACTGGTTTTTAATCAGTCTTCTGCAATGCGCAGATCTTTCAACCATCAGCATTCTTCTTCTCCATTAATTGTATTTTAAGCACATCTCTGTGGAGTTCAAGTTCGAAGCCTTGAATTTAAGAACAGTCGGCTCCTGACACCACGGTTAAAATCAACGCTAGGTGGTCTGCTGCCAAATCATCCACAGCTGGGATCGAACCCAGAACCTCAGCTTTATGAAGCACATTTGTGAAGCCTTAGCCACAGGCACAGACCTTCTAAACAACATACTTAATTTGTACTGAAATGTAAACAATAACATGCATACTTTAATTTTACTGCAGCTAGACATTTGCCTGCTGGTCCAAACGCTTTTGGTTCAAATCCAAATATTTAAAAAAAAGATTTTTTGTTCAAAATTTACCTTGGCTTTCCGGTTGACCCAACCTAAAGGGGTGTCAGGTTATATTCTGTGAAGTAAAGGTGTTCCAACTAGTTTGTAAAAATATAGATCCTGTACATGTCCAATGCATCAAACGAGTGAAAAGGGCTGTTACCATTTTTTCTTAACCTTCGTCGCACATCTCTACTAAACATCAAACTATGCATAATCCAAGAAAAGGAAAAAGACGAAGAAGAAAAGGAGGAGGAAGAAGTGATGATACTTACTTCAGCTCATCCTCTGCAGCCTTCTTCCTGGCACCAGGAGAGTAATACTCAAAATCGCTGCTAAAATTACACTGTTTCCTCCGGGACGATCTACGGGATCGTGTAGAGTCCGGTGTTGAATCCGCTGTGTCTACAGGTGTTGAGATGCCTTGGCTATCGACTGACCCCTCATCTTCCAAGCCACTCGCTGCCGAGAAGTCAGCACTGGGACTTGCCATGGTCGAAGCTGACAAGAATTTGAAGATCTGATGGACCTATCACATTCTGAGGCTAATGTTTGCCGAACGCACAAAAATAATGTGAAACACTCACTAGTTTATGCTTACTGTTCTTCAGCAAATTAAGCAAGATGTTTGACTTACAAATTGTTTCATATTTTTTGACACAAATGTTTTCATCAAACTGCTGTGGTGATGATACACAACTATGAAGCAATAGCTCGTTTAAGCCAAAAGTGTTTTATTAAACATCTTATATTAGTATATGTCTAATTATGTCACTTTAGAAAGTAGCAAATTCTGTCACTTAATTAAGTGTCTAATACTGCCACTTGAGTAAATGTCTATTTCTGCTACTTCAGTAAATGTCTAATTTTGTAACTCAGTATACATGTCTAATACTGTCACTTAAGTAAATGTCTAATTCTGTAACTCAGTATAAATGTCTACTACTGTCACTTAAGTAAATGTCTAATTCTGTCACGTTAGAAAGTGCCCAATTCTGTAACTTCAGTAAAGGTCTAATTCTTTCGCTTCCTAAATATCAAATGCTATCAAATTTACTTTCAAACTACTTCACTTTCTTCAGTTACAAAGATGTTTACATAAGTTTCTGCGGTTATGATAAAGGACTCTTAAAAAAAAAAACCTAGTCACGACCAACTCTTTGTCCCTAAAAATATCTAATATGCCAAAGTGATACCCCCACTGCTTCACATTTCCACGATTAAAGATGTATGACGTTTAATTTGTATGCTGCTGTACTGAACATCAACAGCTGGTTACCCGTAGTGTTCCCCAGTAAAAGACGGATACTGCTGATTTTTACTTGGAAAATTTCACATTTCTATGAGAAGTGTACAAAGCTTGATTTTAGTGACATAGTAAAGGTTCTTCGTCAACTCTTATCCACCTGTAAATGTAAAATGAAAAATTATTAACTCTTTCATACAAGGCTGTGTCCCTTTGCCGGTACATGGGCCATATTGCGGGGGGGAAAGGGGGGGGGGAGACCCACTGACTCCCCAAAAGCATGTTGTAAGCATCAACTAACTGGCAACTTCCTTCAGTTAGAGTTCATCTGACTGAGAGGCAAGGAATAAAAAGTCTGCATACAAAGGAGTCAGATCTGTGAAACAAATGTGCATGCAACAGTCAGGTTCTGGAACAGGACTAGAGTCCCAGAAGTGGGTGAACGTCAGGAACTTTCCACCGGAGTTTACAGCCGGTGAACGTGAAGAAGAAGAAATGCCAGGTTGTAATTACTTTAAAACATTAAATACCAAACAACAATTCATGAGTTACTATATATTTTTGTGTATAAGGCACACCTCAGGCATAAGATGACCCCTAGGAATTACATATATATATATATATATATATATATTTATATATATATATATATATATATATATATATATACTAGCTGTACCCGGCCACGCGTTGCTGTGGCATAGTTTGGCTAAATGGAAATGAAAGAAAATAGAAATAGCACGTGTCTAATACAATCATTGTCTGCTCAGATATAGAGATAGTCTTTGATCCCCACCACTCCCCCCCCCCCCCCAAAAAAAAAAAAACTAAATCCACCTACTACCCTCTCCCTCATCAAAGGTTTTTGGAAAAGAAAGACAATGGAAATCGCACCTGTCTAATATAGTTAATGTCGCAATCATTCTCTGCATATTTATATAGAGATAGTCTGGTTTTCCAACTTTAGAACACGCACAATATAATTGTGTCTTTATATTAGTGGTCGTTTAAATGGTGCTATTAACAGTAACAAAAGTGGTTATTTGGTTATCACATGCTAAAGCTGTTTGTATTTTTAAAGGAGACGTAAGTAAAGCTACTACTGCAGAAGAATGCCATAACCTTACCGGCGGTCTTCACATGAGAGCACTACGGTGTAGCCGCCCAACCACAACTGCTACTGCTGCTGCTACTTTGAGTGGGTAAAGCAGTTACTGTGACTTAAAGCTCTCTCAGTAATCAGTTTGCCCCCCCCCCCCCCCCCCCCCCCCCAAATTCACCGACTACTCTTTCCCTCATCAAAGTAGTTGAGAGGGGAAAAAAACCAATTGAAAAGCAATTAAAACAGGAAAATACACCAGAATTAGGAAATGAACGCTATGGCTAGGAGAGCCCAAATCATTTATCAGAATTGAAACACGGGATATTCGGGTTTTCATTAATAAAGTAAAATTAAAATTAAAATAATGAAAGATGGTTTGGTGGGCACATTCACATTCGTCTTTCTTTAGACTTTAGAAAGTCTGTCGTGAAACTTTAACACTAACTACAAGTTACCAAAATACTGCCAGTAATCTTTAAAATAAAATTAGTCAAAATAATAAAACAATCGGCTCTCCTAGCAGATTTGGCCGGCAAGTAGGTCGGCTTCGGTCGGCGTAGTGGGAGTTCTTTCCCTTGGCCGCACTCACAACAACGAGCGGAAAAAGTCATGACTCAAACACGACAGTGAGGTCGACATCAGGGCTGCCAATGCTTGGTTGTGTCCCCCAGATCTGGGTTTTTCTTTTGACGCTGCAGGAAAATCTGGGTTTTTTTTTTCTGTGTGTCTGTCTGTGGGTGTTTTGCCGACCTGTAAGCTTTAATGACCGATAAATTTGCGTGGTTAGGGGTTGGGTTAGGGTTAGCGGTAGGATTAGGGTTTGGGTTAGGGTTAGGATTAGGGGTAGCGTTAGGGTTACGGTTAGGGTTAGGGGTAGCGTTAGGGTTGCGGTTAGAGTTAGAGATAGAGTTAGGGTTAGGGTTAGGGGTAGGGTTAGGGTTAGGGGTTAGCTGTAGCATTAGATATGACAATTGTGACGCCATAGTTCCCTATAATCGCGCACAGTCACATGCACGCGCAAACAGTCGACGGACGGTGGATGCTACTGACATGGACAATTCGCCACCGATTGGGCACCAGTCGCGCGCTATTGTCGTCATATTTGCCACACGTCCAGTGGCGCCACTCCCACAAACATCAGATTGTGCGCCAGTATTTCGACCTCTTACGTGAAAATTTTCACATCTAACCCTAACCCTAACCCTACCGCTAACCCTAACCCTACCCCTAACCCAAACCCCTAACCCTACCGCTAACCCAAACCCTATGCAACCCTACACGCAACCGTAGGACGATGATAGACACTCTACGCAGCCCTACACGCAACCGTATGATGATGATAGACACCCTACGCAGCCCTACGCGCAACCGTAGGATGATAGGTAACCCTAGATGCAACCGTACGCAACCCTACACGCACCCGGATGATGGTAGGTAAGTATTTCATTTGATTCGTGACTTTTTCCGTGACTTGTTTTGAGTTTGGCGAAGGGAGATAACTCCCCTAACTCCCACTAAGCCGGCCGATGCCGTCTAGCTTGCCGGCAAAATCTGCTAGGAGAGCCCAGAATTCTTATAAAATATTCTTCATTAGCATTTCCTGGTCCCTCTGATAGATAATAAGTGTTACGTTACATTGCAGTTTTATTAGTAAGGCCTCTTTTAATGTGTTACACTCATGAAATTTCAAAATTCCATTAACATTCCTTGTTCCTCTAATGATAAACCCCCTGATACTGAGTCAAGTAGTTAAGGATTCATCAATGTAGATCTATTTGGATCTTTATAATGTCAATAAAATTACAGTAAACATATGTTACAATAAAGCACATCAAATGCTAATACAACTTGAGCTAAAATGATGTGTGCTTATTAAATCACAACAGATTTGCAATGTCGGCGACAAAAGATAACACCCAATAACATGAACATCTGAAGTGAAGCTGTGGCTGCGTTGTCTGCTGCGAAATGCATTTTCCTAACTGCCCTATTCTTTTTCTGTGCAAAAAACAGCTGTAAAAATATTTTAAGATACATGATTCATAATAACGATCAAGCAACAAACAAGCAATATCTGCAACAGGGCGAGCTAGAGTAAATATGTGCGTCGGTAGACCGTCAACTGAGATTAGGTATGCTGTCCGAATCTAACGACTTTCTTCTCGCTGCAAACGATACAGCCGCCATATTTGTTTTCTTGCCGTCACGTGATCAAAATGTTGATAATGGACTCGGAACAAACAATTTGTACTCAACAGTTTCAGTATAGGACGATCACTGTACGTTTATTGATTGCTCTAAACCCTGTGTGGGTTTCAGGGGCTCCCATTGTAAAATAACAAAGAAAAGAGTCCCTGCCCCCTAACAAGCATGTCGTAAAAGGCGACTAATTTGGTTTGCTGTAAAGCAGTGTTTTCCAAAGTAGTTGCTACAGCCCCTTTGGGTGTAAGGGGCTTTTGGACGGTCCGTGAAAGGGGGCGGTGTTGTCTCGACCACATTAGGGAGCCACTCGGATTGTACAGGGGCTGTATCAGCCTCAGATTCAGTTAGGGAATTAAATTTTTTTATAGGCAGCAGAAGAGAGAGAGAAAGAGAGAGAGAGAGAGAGAGAGAGAGAGAGAGAGAGAGAGAGAGAGAGAGCACAGAAGACAGAAAAGAAAACTTCAAGAAAATTTCCGACATTTTAGACAACGTCAATTAAAGTGACGATCTAATTATTGTGATGGTCAACGTGTTCTTTGAAGGACTGAGTGCGATCACACTTTACTCCGAAATATGTCATCGGGTATGTCACTTTTTTCTTACCAAGTTATCAGCACCGTGTACAGATTGAAAAGAACCGGAGACAGTGGAAAAACTTAGGACAGTCCTGGACAGATAGATAGTTATCGGTTATGAGACCTAACAACCACACCTGCTTACCAGCCACCTCTGGAACATTACCGCGGCTAGCCAGCGGATGATGAAAGATACGAGACACGAAGCGCGTGTTTTAAGTAAGTCTCGTTTTGACCGCAGCGACAAATATATGCTGTATGTTTGTGTATTTCAGGAGCTAGCTGTGTGCTATTTTTTCCACTGTCGAAATTTTGTCTGATACTGCGTGTGAGTGATTTATAATAATTGCAAAATTAAATACTCCCGT